TTCCTTCAGGGCCAAACTGTCTAGCAACCGGCTTTACTTATTTATATTTGATTTATTACTCTTTATTTTGTCCTTACAAATGAATTCTCCTCCAGACTTTTATGATACCATCAGTTTACAAACAGTACACATATTGAGGGTGCATTTCATACTGTACCTGATTGAATGGCACATGAGTAGTGATAACTTCTATGACAGCCCTTCTGGAAACATCCCATAATTGCACCTGTTTGTTGGCACGCTGAACATTTCTGAAAAGAAAAAGCACACAGTGAGACACAGACTTATTGATATTAAAAGCATGAAACAAATAGTCAGTTGTTTTTTAATATGTTAGTGTGCCGCTCACTGTTTCCTGTGCGAGCTGGGCAGCCTCCTCCAGCCCATACAGCTTCCCCCCCACCAGGAAGACCCTGGTGGACCAGATCCCGCAGTCCCCGTGGATCCAGCTCTCGTCCACACGGAGAGGCACCTTTGGGAGGAGGTGCAACAATTAACATCTTCATTAAGTTGAAATAAAGAGGTAAATACCTCCACAATCTAGAAAGTTTAGAGTCAAAATTAGGCTTAAAAATGTATCAAGACTGAATTTATGACAGCTTAGGGGGTACAACGCCATTACAGGAAACCATCTGAAATGCATAGTGTGTTATTTGTTTTAAAGGGGCCCTCTAGTGCTAATGTTTAGGTTCATATGTGGATTTAGTGCCTCTTCTGTGACATGCTTACAAGCTTCTATGTTCAAAAAGCTCTTCTCATACTGCCTGTATGAGCACCTCTTTTCACCCTCTGTCTGAAACCAGAGCCCAGTCTGCTCTGATTGGTTAGCTGGCCCGAGAAATGTCCCGACACTTAGCCTATCACGTACAATGTGATGAAATGCAATTGTTTAATAGTGATGTCACTATGTTCCTGAAGTAAACAAAGGAGTCCAATGGAGGCGTTTCAGGCAGCGGGGAGTGTGTGGGAGAGAAAGTCCCTCTGGAGGGAACTTTGGCAGACCATCTACATGCAGAACAACCTATTAGGTATGTAGGGGGAAAACCCCAAAAGCACAATAGGGCACCTTTAATGAAGAATGCTGCGTAACATATCTTTAAACCAAATATCTCTGTGGTTTCCACCCAAAAACAAGACATTTAGAGACATGACTTTTGAATATGAAAAACTAGAATGGATATTTTATACACAAGTATTATTTTAAAAATATCTATTAAATATTCAGCATAACAATAACAACCATTATCATTATTTGCGGCCCCACCTTTGGGAGAGAGTGGTTGTCACCCTCCAGCAGACTGTTGACACCATGGCAGTCATTATCTGAGGGGTTCACGGAGCTTCTGCTGGCGTTTGATTGTCCCTCCTCTTTCTGCTCAGTCTTGCACAGCAGAGAGGGGCCGGTGGGGTGATACGGGCCGTGGAGGTCCCCCAGGCCCGTGGCGTTGGCCGTCTGACCGCACAGGCAGCAAAGTAGAGCTGCCTCACCCCCGCTCTCTGAGCCAGAGCGCCCCAGCTGGAAACAGGAAGTGTGGGGAACAAACCCGGACAGAGAGGAGGCTTTCTGCTGCTGCCCCCTCCTCACCGTCGCCTCCTCTTCTGGATAGTTAACAACAGTGCACGCCCTCTTCTGCACGTGTACAAAGGGGCAAAAATTCCCCGATGTCTTTTTCAGTTTTTTCTCTTTTAAGTTTGCATATTTGAGCTTTATTTCTGTCTCTCTGGGAGAAAAGAGAGAACAAGGTCCAGTTGGCCGCGAGCGCACTTTTTTCTTCCGTCGTGCCACTGTTTGTTTGATTGTTTTACTTTCATGCTGCTCTGTAGCACTTTTTTTTGTACAAATGGCGGGAGGCTTCTTTCGTTTACAATTGAGGGCTTTGCAGCGAGGCTGCTGCTCCCTCTGCGGTGACTTCCTGTCTGTCTGAGAGGCCGCATCAGACTCCTCTGAGCTGCTGCTCACTCTTTGGGACACATTTTCTTGCGAGGCCGACTCCTCTGCGTCCGAGCTGGAAAACCTTGCCTCGTGCTCCATCATGTCGTCAGAGTCAAAGCTTTCGTTATAAATGCCCACCACGTCATTTTTAGCTTGCCTCCTCAAACTGTACCTGGACAAGCTGCGTGGCGACTCGCTGCAGACGTTTTGAGATATTTCAGACACATATTTCCTAATTCTAGTGCTGCGTCGGATTCTTCTAGGCTGAGCTTTTTCATCCTCACTCTGAGGAGGAGTTTCTCTCGCTAGACTTTTCTTACAAGAAACAGCTTTCTTGTTTTTGCGAGTGACAGAAACTTCAATGATGTCACTGTCGTCGCTTGAAATATCTACCAGGGATTCAGCAGGGTGTGTGTACACAGTGTTCAGGTCTGACAGGAGCACGACGGGCCGGGCGTGATGTATCGGGATGTCCACGGAGCTGTCTGAGGACTCCTCTGAGTCCGAGCTGTCGGGACTGGGCGAGCTCAGAGGCTGAGGTAGGTGATAGCAGCCTCGCTCTTCTTCCAGCGAGGACACCGCCGGGGACAGAGGCTCCGCGATGTGCCTCATGCTGTCCTGGAGGAACGAGCTGCATAAGAGCGGCTCCTTAGCGGACGAAACGAGGAAAATAACATCAGAGCCGCTGTCGCTTTCCTCTCCGCCGCTGCTTTCAGGAACTGAGAAACCTGCATGCCACAGGTTGCCGTTAGGGTACAGCCCAGGAGCTAGTGTTGAGTGCATATAGTTACTCAACACCTCGGGGCCCTGCTCCATGTTTCTGCAGTGGAGACCGGGCTGAGAGTTGTAGGAGGACGAGGCTCTGGATCTGTACGGGGAGCTGATCTCGGGGCTGCAGCTCGGCAGCCGTCGGTGGTACCACTCAGGCTTCTTCACCAGGTCCATGGGTTCAGTGTGGCCGCGGCTCAGGGGGTGGACCGAGAAGCCCTTTGACAGGTCCATAGCCATGAGAGACGGGTCCTGAGGGGACACCTCCATCACTGCAACACATAGACATTTCAATTAGAGGGATTCACTTATTTTTATTCCGATTTCTTTAACCAGAAAGGCCCCATTGGGATACATACAACCTCTTCTGACAGTCCTGGTGAAGATGGGCTGCAAACATAGTAAACATTAAAAAGTACAAATTGGGAGTTGACATCACATTTAAAGTATTTTTTAAAGATTGCAACAGAGGTTAATAATTATGAATCACATGACATGGAAGCTACTGGAAATATTTAATAATTTTCAATAAATAAAAATCCAATAATAACATATGTGTATTTTTTGTCTTATTTTGTTATCATCAGGTAAGGTTTTTGAGTAAATGGGTCTGATGATACAGAAGCTATTGGAAATAAATGACACCTTTCATCAACAAATGCTGAATTTATGTTACATTTTCATTGTTGCGATTGAGACAGCTGACTTTTCTTATTGACATATTTATACTTTTAGCGTTTTTACAAATAATAGCAAGTTAGCACGGAGGTGTTGAAATTAACATTGTTTTTTTTGGTCATTTAAATGGTAATTTATTGATGGTCCCTAAACCCTCTGGTCTGTCGAATATCCACCCCAAACTAACTTCACCGCAGTTGTGTTCAATAACACTGTGCACGTTAACCAGAAAAAACATTCCACAACAAATAACTGGTATGTCGCTACAGCCATCTATTTAAAAAAGTATTTGTATTATTTATTTTCATCTGTGAGTTGAAATCCTCATTAAAGTGGTTCAAAACAAAAGTGATTAGAATGGTTTCTAGGTTTATGTTTACAAAAGGTACGACACAACAAAGCAGGATATATGTTATGTAACATGTTTGAAATAACTATTTCAACCTTGCTCTAAAATGAGTAATTGTAAGGTAAAATCCCCTTTTCTAATGTGTTTATGTTTCCGGACCTGTATTTAACTGAGCTTTAACATGACATGTTAACAGGTAGGCCCGCCCATGAGTAATGTAATAATAGGTAACCTGCCTGTAACATGACATGATGTAATGTAGATTTAACCCACAATAAGTGTACACAAATAAATGTTTTTCAGAGTTGATGGTCTTACCCTCGAGGTGGCAGCAGTTTGACCCCGGCCCTGACACAGCGGGCTTTGGGAGGACAACTCCCCAGCAAACAGGTCGTGTATGTGGGATTAGCTAACACACCTCTCCGGGCCCGTCCATCATCAGGACTGGAAGTAAACAAGATGCAGCGACTTCATGCTAGCTGCTTAGCTAACGTTAACCCGCTAAAGCTCATCAAAATGTAGGCAACACTCGACGCAGTAAAAACGAGATTACCATTTTCGTTAAATAATCGCTGTCAGACAGTTACAGCCCTCTGGCTAATGTTGGTATTTTAAAGTTGTCATCAGGGAGACCACCTTCCTTCAGAGTCAAGACACCTGAAGGAACCAGGGTGAAACCGGAAAGAAGCGTGCCATTTCAGAGTAAAAGCTTCATGATACCCTAAACAAAGCATCAATGTTATAATGTATCCAAAGTAATCAACATAACAATTGAGACAGGGATTTAATTGAGAGAATTATTTAATGTGTAGGAATAATACATTCATTGTTTTGCTTTGAATATCTCAATTTCAAAGAGTTAACACAACACAATACATAGAGAACACTGGTCAATATAACAACAATGTGTTTTATTTGATCCTTATCTTGTTCCTATTCTAATTTTACACTCATTGTTTATTTTACGTAATACATTGTTTTTTGTACTCCCACAATATTCTGCCCGACTGTCCCACGTTGGATGTCAATTGGGGCTTTTATTTTGAAATCATCAATCGGAACTCGGTCTTCTTCCGAACAACTTGACATTCTTCTTCTTCAGCCAGAAATAGTGCTGAATACTGTCAAAAATAGCCTGATTTTTTTTGGCTGCATCTTCGCAAGATATACATTTTTTTCAATGACTGTATTAACTGTGACTTTTAATCTTTCATGTACAAAACTGGCATATTAAATATTAAATGAAATATGGCACCAAAGTAACCAACTCAATGCTGCAATTGTGATTTATTAATAAAACATCTATGTTTATTATTGCAGTGTACCGGCAACACATCTTTAGATTTAGTTCAATTTAATTGATAATAAATGAGGGCAGACAGCAGTGGTTAAGAGTATATATATTTCAGATCAAAGTGTTACAAAAACTATATGGCTGTACAGATAACATATACACATAAATTAAAAAAATTTAATAATATTATTTGGGAAATATTAAAATGACATGTCACAGGACCATTGCAGCAGAAATGACTTTAAATGACAAACTCAGTGTGAAAAAGGTTAATAATTGCTCAGACATAATACAAAGTAGGGACACAATATAAACATCTTTAAAAATAATAATAAAAAGGTGTGTTAAGTAAGATTGTGGAATGATGAAAGTTCTTGGATGTATTAAACAATAACTTGTTTGTTTGTTTTAAATAAATGTGTTGTGGGTGAAAATACAGGAAGAAAACCACATGTTACAGTGAAGACTAATGTTGCTATTTTAAAAACAGATGGTTTTAGGGAGAAGTTTGGTCCAGAGCGTGATGAGCGAGTCTCAGGTTTTCTCTCAGCTCGTCCATCTCTCCCTCTGTTTTGGCCCTCATGATGCTCAGCTCCGTGTACATGTCTTTGTACTTCTTGGTAGCGTTCCTCTTGGCCTGAAACATGACAGACATTAGGTTTAATTCTCAATCTTTATTATTTATTATTCCAGCTACTGTATATGTGTGATTTTTACGACATTGTAAAGGGCCTCTGTAGGGTAAATTAAAGAAATTACGTAGGTTATATTCTCAGAAAAAACATATGAAATGTAAGATTGAAGTTAAGAATTCAAATGAAAAAACTCACTAATGAAGTGGTACATCTCCCAGAAAACATTTGTTGAATATTACCAGAGATAAAAGTAGAAAATATACGGCAAAATCTCATGAATGTATGAGGCCGACCTTGCAAAGTGAAGCCATGTGGTTTCTGGCAAAACTATTTTTTACAAACAATAAAGGTAATAAATCACTTCAGATTCTCACCTTTTGTGCTGATTGCAGGTCATCCCTCAGAGATGTGATCTCCTGCTTCAGACACTGACCCTCAGACTCCTTCACCCGAAGGGTTATCTGAGATCAAAATAATAACAGCTTTATGTCTCCACCATCAATAAGTAAAGAGCTAAAACTTAAGTGAACACTGGAGATCAAATCATACTGCAGAGCTTACTGGCTTTATGACTAATGAACTGGTTAGAGTTCAACATCTTACATTTTAAAAGGTCGGATGCTCTGGCTATGGTCTTTCAGATGACTTCTCATTATGCATATACTACATTTATGTTTACTTTCATTTGCGATCAGTCTCTAAAATAAATGAATATCCATTCATTTACACTTTTTTAATGTTTATATTTTATCCCTATATTTGTCCCGACAGTTCATAAGTGGCAATCAGATATGTTCAGCCACTGTTCACCAAAAACAACAAAACATTGAAATAACACGGTCCTTTTGTATAAACTTTATAAATATTTTCATATTATTTTATCTTACTCCATCTCCACACAAGACTTATTTAAAAGAGAAGACTTACCTCCATTTCGTACCGGTCCATCCCCTGACTGAGCGGCAGAGCGTCCTGCTTCGCCAGAGAACACAGTCTGGTGATCTCTGCTGCCAGGTGACCGCTCAACTCCTGGAGGACAACATCAGAAACAAGACCACAATGAGGCTTTCATCCCAATCACACTATGATGTGTTTAAATAGCCCATCGGCTGTTTTAGTCAAAAGTCATGTGTTTGTAAAGTAATGAGCAAAAGACTGGATATACTGCACGCATTGTGTGAGATATAGGTATGCTGTATATGAAACACTTCAATTCGTGAGTCACCAGGTGAAAAGAATAACGTTTTTTTTAACTGTAACACAGCTTGACCTATTGATATTCAAATTTTTTTTTATCGGTTAAGTATTCCTGTAAAGCTATGTCAATGACTAAGACACTATTTGCTTGGCAGTGCAGTCAGGGGAGCATTTTACCCTTTGCGGCCGCTTTGAGAATGTATTATTTTCTCTGCGGGTATTAACCATTAGCCATCGTGCATCGCAGCTCTCACCTGGTTCCTGGTCCTCAGGTCCTGGTTTTCCTGCTGGCACTGACACAAGGCCTTCCTCTCAGCATCCAGGGCCTGCACAAGATGGCCGCTCTCCAGGCATTTCAGAGAGAACTGCTGGGACAGAACCTCCAGCTCCCGCTGGTACGAGGCCAGCTCCTCACTTTACAAACACACAGAAATATTCTAAATAAACTGCAATCTGTACACAACAGTTATAATACATGTCAAAATATCAGATTTGTTTTGGACAACATAGAAGATGTACTGTACCTGTGTTGTCTGCACATGTCCTCCAGGTGTGTGTTTCCTTTGCTGCTCTCTGAGCGACATCTCCTCTGCACCTCCCTCTCCAACTCCAGCTGGTAGACGTTCTTGATAGCCTCAATTGCTGAAAGAAGAATAATAATTAGCTAAATCATTTACTTTTCATGGTGATAGTTTGAAGGCTATTCAAAAAGGAAACAGATAGAGTTTGTACAAAAAAACAAACCGAATAAAGCATTTTCACATAAAAAACATGTTTCATCTGTGGACACAGTATGCAGGAGCTATGGGCTTAAGGATAAAGTCATCTCAGCTTGTGTCTTTGTTAACTTAAGAACCAGACGTCTAAAGAATAAAAGCCTTTATGAAAATATAAAGTTAAAAATGAACAAGATCTAACAAGGCGATGGTAAAAATGTGGCATTACAATGGATTTAAAGTGCATTTTTGACAGCTCCTCACCAGTGGCAGTAGCAGCGCTCTCCTCCTCCAGCAACCTGTCTCTCTCCACCAGGAGGCGCTCCACTTCCTGTTGGTGTTGATGCTGCAGCTCCTCCACCCCCTTCAGCTGAGACTCCTCCATGGAGGCGAAGCCACGCTCACATGTGGCCTGGAGGAGATGTTCATGTGAGTGACATACTCATTACCTTCATTCAGGGTGCAGTAATTCTCTTTCACACCTATATTATCTTACAACTTTTTGGGTGAAAGCAGCCAGTCAAAATAAATAAATAAAGACTTACAAAATATTGATTTGCCTGTGTCATGTTGGAAAATGGTTGTTATTCATTGGTTTACGTCTTTTAAAACGGATTAAATCAGTTGAATTAAAATCTGATATGCATGTCTGTTATGAGGGATGGGTCAAATGATCTTTAAACTAAGGGCTTCTTAAGCCTGAAAAAGCTGTGTTTGTAAACCCCTTGTGCTTTGCTTACCTTCAGTTTTTCCAACTCCTTCTCATGTTGTGTCTGAACAGAACTCATTTTCCCATGAAGCTCTTCTTTCATCTCCTCTTCCATGACAACCTGCAGCTCCTCCAGCTCCTCCACTTTTCTCCTCAGCAGTAAAACCTCTTTCTCTGACTCCACGCATACAGGACACGATTCTTTATGAGATGCATCCTTTCTCTCTGCATTTTCATCTGCTCTCTCCTCAATTCCAAACGGACCTTCAGCACATGGAAGAGGGATTTCTGGACACTCAACCATCTCCTCTTCTTCCCCTCTTTCATCTGGAATACTTTCCTGTAGCTCAATGTCTGATTCCCGTTGGTAGGCGTCTTCTGTCTGGCAACCTGTGTTTATCGTATCCCCCGTTGACAACTGTTGTGCTTCGATGTTTGACAATCTTTCTCTCAGCTCCCTGTTTTCTTCCATTAAGCGGACGCAGTTGCTGCAGGTGAGCGATTTCTGTCTGGTTTCCTCTAGTTGCCTCCCGTATTTTGAGTGAAGCCTGGCTAAATGATAGCAGTGTACCGCTTCAGTCGCTGCAGATTGAATGAAACCAGACACCGGATGCTCAGAAAAGTGAAGGTCAGCCGTCAGCTGGAGTTTGTCCTGTGCTGAGGTGCCAACAGAGGATGCAAGGTGATTTAGAAAATGTATTTTCATCTGTGTGACGCTCCTAAAATGTCCCATCTCATACAGCTTGCTAGTACAATCAAATATCCTACTTTCATCCGTCTTCTCGGTTTCCATCTCACTTGAAGTATTCCAATTAATATCCAGATTTGTTAGACTTTCCCTGCCTTCATCTGGGCATGTCTCAGAAAATAGACGATGCCCTGACAGCAGCATTTGTTTCTCCACCATCATACGTTCTGTCAGCTCACTGAGAAGCTCTTCCACAGGTTTCTCCTCTTTGAGCTCCGAGGGGTGTACTTTCACTTTGTTGTGCAGTAATCTCCAAAACTGCTCCTCCCACTTTAACTGACTCTCCACTGTAAGCTCTTCTTCCTTTCCCGAACCAAAGTCCAACTTTTCGATCACCTCCAGTAATTTGTCCAAAGCTTCCAACCTCATGACCATCCCGTTTATCACTTGCCGTATCCTTTCTTCACCAGAAACACATTTATCTCCATCTTTCGAACTCTCCTTCTTCTCCAGCTCTTCATTCAGCCTCCTGACCTCTGCCTTCGCCTCCGCAGCTGATTCACGGTAGTATGTCTCCGCTCCCTTCTGCTCTGCGTTCTGCTTCTGGAGCTCCCTGCAGGTTGCTTCTGATTGCTCTAGCTGCTTCTCCAACGCCGTCAGCTTTGCCTCGGTAGCCTCGAAACATCTCAGCAGATACCCCTTACTCTCCTGTGGAGCTCCCTCTGTTGGAGAATTCAGCTGCAGCATGGCCTCCGTCTCCCTCAGATTCTCCTCCAGGGAGGCGATTAAGATCTGCGCCTCCAGGAGCTGCTGCTCTCTTGAGCTGACCTCCATCTCCAGAACGTCCACCCTTGTTTGTCCCAGCTGCTCTACTTCAGGGAGGTGACGGGGTTCAGTGTACCTGCTGCTGAGCTCCACTTTGAGCCTCTCTATCTCTCGGTCTGCCTCTGTCAGCTGGTTCAGCATCTCCTGGTTGCGCTGGTTCAGAGCCTCCTTCTGGCTGGTGAGCAGCTCCACCTCTTGGGAAAGCCTCCTCACTAGCTCCGGGTCTGACGGTAGGTGTTGCTCTACACAGCCGTTCAGATGTTTGTCATCTCCCTCCTCCAGCGTCTGCAGAACCAATGATTCACTGTTTTTTATTTGTGTTTCTGCACTGGGAGCCTGCTCACTTCTGTCCAGCTGATTCTGGTGGTTCAATGTCGCAACGTTTAAATCGGTTTGTCCGTCACTCTGAGAAAATGAGTATTCGCTATCTGATGCAGGTGATAGTAAAACAGGTGTGTCCTCTGTCTCAGGAAGAAAATCCCCCAGGTCTGTGAAGTTGCCCTCTGCGTCATGCAGCCAGATGCTGGGGGCTTGAGGATTTAATGAAGGCGGGACAAAGCTGAGCTGCTCCTGCATGCTGATGATGCTCTGCTGTTCTCTGCTTTCTGTGCACACATCCTTCAGGGTCTGTGCATATCCGTTTAGTGTCTTTACATTTATGTCCGATGGGGAGAAAACCGATTCAGGAGTTAGAGGAGGGTCCAGCTAAGGGAAGACAGCAGAGATAGGTTACAAGAAATAAGCATTGTAGGTATGACACCTTAAAAAATAGGTACAAAATAGGAAGTAGATAAAGATGCAACGTGTGGCCGACCTGCTGCTGATAACTTCCTGCTGCAGTCAGCTGAGCCTCCATCTCCAGTCTGCGACACTCGGACTCTGCCAGCTGGGCCTGCAGATCCTCCATCTTTAATGGGAAACCATTCAATGAATATAAATAATCACCAATAATCAATAACATGTTGAGATTTTACAATGATGAAACCAAAACATGAAGGAGTAGGATTCCTCCTTTGTGGATGAGAAAAATCCAGTTCACAAATGATGTTATGAGTTGTAGCAATATTACTCTCAATGAATATAAGAAAGCACTGCGTAAAACGAGAGCAGCTTACATTAATAGATGAGAATAAGAATAATGCAAGATTTCTTTTCAGCACTGTAGCCAGGCTGACAGAGAGCCACAGCTCGATTGAGCCTTCTATTCCCATAGCACTCAGTAGCAATGATTTTATGTGCTTTTTTAACGATAAAATTGTTACTCTTAGAAACAAAATCAATGACCTCTTGCCTTTGACCAGTATAGTGTTATCAACAGCTCCCGGAAATGTAAACTCTAATATTACACTAGATAGTAAACTAGAATGATTTTCAGCCATTAACCTTGAACAATTAAATTCAATGATTCTCTCTTCTAAACCATCAACGTGCATGTTAGACCCAATTCCAACTAAGCTGTTGAAGGAAGTTTTTCCATTAATTAGCACTTCTTTATTAAATATTATGAATATGTCTTTATTATCAGGCTATGTTCCACAATCATTCAAAGTTGCAGTAATAAAACCTCTTCTTAAAAAGCACAACCTCGATCCAGAGGTTTTAGCCAATTATAGACCTATTTCTAATCTTCCGTTCCTCTCAAATATTCTTGAGAAAGCAGTCGCTGTGTGATTACTTAAAAAACAATGATTTATTTGAAGATGTTCAGTCTGGCTTTAGAACACATCATAGCACAGAGACAGCTCTGGTTAAAGTCACAAATGACCTTCTAATAGCCTCTGACAAGGGACTTGTCTCTATTCTTGTTTTGCTCGATCTCAGTGCTGCATTTGATACTATCGACCATGATATCCTATTGCAAAGACTAGAGCACTTAGTTGGCATACAAGGAACTACTTTAGGCTGGTTTAGGTCCTATCTATCTGAACGCTCTCAGTTTGTACGTGTCAACGATGAATCTTCCATGCAAACCAAAGTTAGCCATGGAGTGCCACAGGGCTCAGTGCTCGGACCTATTTTGTTCACACTATATATGCTTCCGTTAGGCAATATTATAAGGAATCATTCTGTAAACTTTCATTGTTATGCGGATGATACTCAACTATATTTATCCATCAAGCCTGATGAAACCAATCACCTAAATAAAATTCAAGACTGCCTCAAGGACTTAAAAACGTGGATGACCTTAAATTTTTTGATGTTAAACACGACCAAAACTGAAGTTATTGTACTCGGCCTAAAGAATCTACGAAACAAATTATCTAAAGATATACTAGTTATGGATGGCATTAATTTGGCCTCCAGTGAGACTGTAAGGAATCTTGGTGTTATATTTGATCAGGATTTATCCTTTAACGGCCACATAAAATCAATCTCAAGGACCGCCTACTTCCATCTACGCAACATTGCAAAAATCAGGCATATCTTGCCTCAAAACGATGCAGAGAAACTAGTCCATGCATTTGTTACTTCTAGGCTGGATTATTGTAACTCTTTATTATCAGGGTGTACCAAGAAGTCAGTCAAGTCGGTTCAGCTGATTCAAAATGCTGCAGCTCGTGTACTAACCAGAGTTAGGAAAAGGGACCACATTACTCCTGTTCTGGCTGCCTTACACTGGCTCCCTATAGAACACAGGATATCATTTAAAATTCTTCTTCTCGCCTACAAAGCCCTTAATGGGCAGGCGCCATCTTACCTTAAAGAACTCATCATACCCTACTGTCCTATTAGGGCATTGCGTTCCAAGAATGCAGGGTTGTTGGTTGTTCCTAGAGTCTCTAAAAGTACAATGGGAGGCAGAGCCTTTTCTTATCAAGCTCCACATTTGTGGAATCAGCTTCCAGTTTGTGTTCGGGCGGTAGACAGCCTATTCGTTTTTAAGAGTACGCTTAAGACCTTCCTTTTTGATAAAGCTTATAGTGATAAAATAAAATAATCTAATAAGAGTGCATTGACGTAGATAGGTTGTGCCTCTTCACCTATACATTTTAGTTCTTACTCTTTCACTTAAATCCTAAAAACTTAGATCTTATATTTAAAACTTTATCCAAAACCTTTCCCCTCTCTGACCTCTCAAGGTTCTATTAGGGTAACAGGTTGCAGAGAGGCCTATTCCGGCCGGGGAGTGTGGAACGTAGCCACAGACCTACTCCTTACCTCTAACCAATTCAGGTTCCAGTCGGGACCTCTCTCCCTGCGTCTGCCTCTCCACCTCTGTTTCCTACAGTACTTCTTACTTGCTACCCTTTTCCCTCAACCTCTCCTAAGGGAGTGCATGTATGTAGACACGTTAGTTTAGCTGCTATAGGCTTGGACTGTTGGGGGGGGCACCTTACTCCATCTTTCTGGCTGTTTGTACCTGTGTACTCTCATGTTCCGATTAACCCAGCTTTCCCCAAATCTCTTTTTTGTGTCCATATATACGCCGGGATCCTGAGTCGAGGCTAATCCTGTTGCTGTGGTCGTGTGTCCTGGATCCTCTATCCTGAGTACTAGATCTGAGTCCTGGACTTCGAGTCGTGGCTGAACCGGTCTCTGCGGTCCTGCCAGACTCTCACCATACTACTTCCCTGATGGCTCCCACAAGATTGCTGACATCCTTGTGGATTCATCTTCTTATTATACACACATGCATTTCCAAACATTTGGTCTACCTACGCTGTAAAATGTATTATCTTTTCAATTTACACACGGCATCTATTGCACGTCTGTCCGTCCTGGGAGAGGGATCCCTCCTCTGTTGCTCTCCCTGAGGTTTCTCCCATGTTCCCCTTTAAACTGTGGGTTTTCTCTGGAAGTTTTTCTTTGTACGATGTGAGGGTCTAAGGACAGAGGGTGTCGTATTGTCATACTGATATTTTGTACAAACTGTGAAGACCACTGAGACAAATGTAATATTGGGCTATATAAATAAACATTGATTGATTGATAGCAATATTTGACCCTTGTTGCTTAGAGGATAAAAACATTACACATTCATATTATTTTCCTTTTTTACTAAGTTGAGTCTTTTAACCAATATCAGTCCTGATCAAAAACTTTGGGATTTGAGCCTTTGCAGAACATTTACAGTATATCACACGCTACAGGAAAGGGGAAACCCCAAAGAGCTTTATTGGGCCCCTTTAAGGTTCTGATATTTTTTTAAATACACACTTTAGTAAAGAAGTTGAGGTTTAAATTCCAATATTTGTGGGAAAAAAGTATTCCACATGCTTTATCACAGCCAAAATGATAGGAAAAAGAAATGTCCCTAGTGAGGGACTACAGCACTCACCCCCGTCCTGTAGCTGTCCAGCAGCTCCACAGGTTCTTCAGTTTCAGGAAACAGCGGGATACTCCTGTCCATTCTGAACATCGTCTTCTCCACCTGCTTCCAGCACTCGTCGATCTCTTCCTCCAATTTCTGCTGTGATTTCAGACTCAGTGATCCATCAGTTGTTTTATCTCCAATCGCCTCCCATCCCAGAGGGAAGCCCAGCATGCTCTCGTACTTCCTCCTCCGCTCCTCCCTCCTCTTCCTCCTCTCCAGTTCTCCTAACTCCAGCGGGCACAGAGCTTTAGTCCTCTGATGGTCCAGGGCGGGTTTGTTCTGAGACCTGAACTCGGCCCAGTCGAAGGTTTTGTTGCGTCCCTCCCTCCGTCTCTCCATCACACTGCTGTGTTTTGGGTGAGGGTCTCTCTCTAAGGAGATGTCAGTGGGCAGAGAGTCCTGAGTCACATCTGGTTTGGGGAGAGCTTCAAGTGGACTGTGTAAACTGATCACAACACATAGTAATGATTAGATTGTGGATGGGAAACATTCAGTGCAACTCTCTTTATTAGAGCAGTACAACGGTAACACAATTGAAAGGAAATGTAAAAATGATACTTTCAAAACACAGGTATACGCTTATTGTTCACTGAATGGTAATGTACGGTGGTAGACAGGTGCAAACACGATACCAAAAACATTTCCATTCAGGAAGAACACAATGCAGTTTGAGACACGATGCAAATTCAAAAACACATCTAACAACTAATGTAACTAACTTAGTCATTTCAAATATAATGACAAAACACTTACAACCAGGAAACAGGTAACAGGTAACAGGTAACAGTTAAGCTTCTTCCAGCGGTTTTTTATTTGCAGCGTTTTGTGTTTGCAGTGCTTTTGACAGTTAATAAATTAAAACTCTTCTTTTGACTGTAAGTCGGACCACCCAATCTTTTGTTAATCAAACAAATTGTGTTGGTACAAGCAGTAAATTACAATTTGTATTTAAATTTATTTGAAAATGTGATATTAAATTAGACAGTAGATCATAAAACGATAGCGTACAGTGGTGAAAAGTAAATGTACCCAAGTGATAAGACAGAACTTGATTACATACATTTTGTATTACGTTATGCAGTGATTGTTCTTGTAATAATATATTGTTCACACTGTTATATTCAGGGTTGCACATAATACAGGTAAAATACATCTGAATTGCGTAACGTCACTTGTGTCACTTTTGCGTACCTCAAAACAAAACACATACTGTATTTCGTCTACAAGTGTTTCTTGTAGACTTACTCAGGGTGTTAATGGAAGAGTTTGAAATCAGACAGAGGTGGAAGAAGTACTCAGATCTTGTACTTGAGTAAAAGTAGAAGTACCAGAGTGTAGGAATACTCTGTTACAGTAAAAGTCCTGCATTCAAAATGTTACTCAAGTAAAAGTAGAAAAGTATTATCATCGAAATATAGTTAAAGTACCAAAAGTAAAAGTAGTCATTGTGCAGATTGGTCCATTTCAGAATAATATATATGATATGTTTTGTAATGATTGATCATTAAAGTGTTCTCAAAGCTGGTAAAGGTGCAGCTAGTTTTACAAAGTAGATCAAAGTCAAGTAAAGTACAAATATCTCAAAATTGTACTTAAGTACAGTACTTGAAGAAGTGTACTTAGTATCTGAAATCAGATATGACTTCAAGTCATGTGATCATTTCTTAGTATTTGGTCCTTCAACTTGGCCTCAGGAAATGCAAGGACTTCACAGTTTTGGCAACAAGTTTTGGAGAAAGCAAATTGGAGGCTTAAAAAGAGACAGGGAGGTGCATCTTCATCATCTTCATCATCTAGCATGCAAGAAGTGAAGGACAGTGAAGGAGACACTGAGGAGGACCACGCTTCGTGTGGGGTGAGTACCAAACGCTGTCTCCTGGTACTCATCTGAGTAACTCACTAAAATGTGCACCCCTGGTTATATTGATACATTTGAATTAGAATAATATATTTGAGCCACTTTACCTGGCTACATCAGGGGCTTTAGCTGGACGGACGTTTTTCATCAGAGCCTGGATCCAGTTCTTACGTATCCCTGAAGTCATGGCTGACAAAGTGTAGAGACCCTTTGGGGTCTAAAACAAACATTAAGCTTCATTTTATGTTAATGCAACATTTTGAGGTTTCTCTAGTGTAGGAACACATTTCTTACATGGATCTGGAAGCCGTAGTTCCTCTGCACCGAGAACTCAGACACATTGAAACACTTTGTGAGGTCGATTTCACCTTCAAGATGTGAAGCCTGAGGGGAGGAAGCAAAAGATATGTGAATGTCTTCAAATAAACACTTTTTATTTTATTTCTATAAACTATTTAATTAATATCAAAATACCTCCTCAGCTAGTGAGTCCTTGTAGTACCTCAGACTGTCAGCGGACAGCACAAACCAAGATTTCTTCCACTAGAGGGAACCAAAAGACAAATGAGTGAGAAATTGTAAACAAACAGAATCAAATGGAATAAAAAATGATTTCCATCAATAACATCCATTTGATTTAGATTGATTACCTGCCCATTTACATCCAGTTTGACCATCCAACCCTTTTTGAAGTTCAATAAATCTGGCTGTAACGAAACACAATGTTAACATCTTTGCCATAAACAACAGTAACTTGTGAGGAAATGAAGCTTTTCAAGTCTTTATGGCCGCTTCATTGTGATGTATTTGTATAGTTTTTGTCGATACCTCTACTGATTAAGCTTTTATTTGCATCCACAAGTAATCAGTATTTTGTTTTGCAATTGTTAGTACGAAATATGATCTGTTTGGTGTCTCACCGTCATGATGGTGTCGGACGTCCTGCGGTCCAGAGACTTGGCTCTTCTCTGGGGTGGAGGTGCGGTGAGCTGGGTGATGTCTCCACATGACTGGAGCTTCTGTAGAATAAAAACATAGGATGATAAAAGCTTTGTTGTGCTTATTATCTTAAAAGGGACAAACATACATATTTGCTCTCTTACATGTAGTGCTATTTATCAGTCTAGATTGTTTATGTGAGAGCTGTCGAGTGTTGAACAAGATGTCTGCACGTAGGAACCTTTCTTCTTCTTCCCTATCGAAGGAAGAGGGAACCTTGTCATGAGCAAGATGCTCCTGACAGCATGACATGTAACAATGAAAGGTGTTCTCCTTGGCTAAGCTGTGAATGTTAGCTAGCTGGATGGAGCCGCTTTTCCTTTTGCGTGATGATAATGTTTGCAGTTATAGTTTGGTAGAAAAAAAAAGTTCAGACATAAAAGCTGTCCACAACAAGGTCTTTTGGAATATTTTAACTAAACAGACTAGAGCTGTCCTCCACTAAAGAAATTCTGAGTCGATTAACACTCATACTGTACATGTTAATCGACTTATTGATCAGTTGATTTAAAGAAGCCCTTTCATGCTGTTTGTGGTTTTCCCTTTCCTGTAGTATGTTATGTAACTTTTATGTGCATGTCAATGGTCTGAAAAGGCTAAAATCCCAAAAGTGTATCTCCCACACACACACCTGCCTGATCACCTCCATTGGACTCCTTTGCTTCTGTAACATAATGACATCACTACCTAACTCTTGGCGTTACTTTCTATTGGCCAGCGCTCCAAACCCGTGGGTTTGTGATATGCGAAGGGGCGGGACATTTCCGCTACATTTCTAAGCGGTTGACTAATCACAACAGAGCCGGCCAGCTAACCAATCAGAACGGAATGGGCTCTGGTTTCAGACAGAGGGTGAAAATAGGTGCTGCAGAACAGGCAGCATGAGATAAATAAAGAGCTTTTTGAATATTAAAGCCTGGAGACATGTCACAGAGGTGCACCAAATACAAATATGAACCTGAAAATGAATTTATATATCGTCTTGATTCGATCTAATCTACTAAAGAAATAGAAGTTGAATAAGACTAAATCAATCGATTATTGGACCAATAGAATAAAAGATACACTGCCAATACATTTTTAAGCCAAGTTTCATCTAGTTCCATTATACTCTACAGTAAGTATCTCAAACACTGCAACTCACACAAACAGTATAAATTGATAGGAAGCACGGCAGCTCAAGTGAAAAATATATATTTGAGCTTTTAGGATGAACTGCCCCTTTAAGAGTTGAGGTGTTGTCTGAATCAGGACGGTGGCAGTTTGTATGTGCGTCCTGCATTCCTTAAAGCAGAGTAACCGATAGTCTGGATCCTTGGCAGGGACGTCAGCTGTAAGGATTAGGCCTGCTGTAGAGCACCGCGGGGAGCCCAACAGGCTTTTCTACACTGCCTGTTAAACCCTTACTCACATCACAACTCAACTGCACACGGATGACTGCATTTGGCTATGTGGAATGCATGAAAAGGTTTTAAATGCAACATAATCCCTGATACTTCATGGCTTTTTGTATTGAAAATGATGCTACAAAGTCCCAAAGTCCCAAAATCCCTGCGTGCTTCTTCAGATCAGCTTCCATGCTGGCAAAGAGAAGTAGATAATATATCTCTCTTTAAGTCTGATTTACAAAGCATTTATTGAAAGAAGCATTTTGTTTACTTGAAAGGACTCATTCTCCCCCTTATATAACAACTTCAATGGGAAAAATGACCACTTACAGAACATTCTTTGTGTTTTCTTTTCCTGGCATTTACATTGAAAACCATCCAAGGACACAACACATGGAGGGACAGAGTGCTCTGGGCTTTTTCCCCCCTTCTTTTTCCCAAACAATCGCTGACCGCTGCAGACAGAGCCTGTCCTCTGTTTGGGGAAGAAGCCTCCCAAAGCTGGAGGGGAGGTGGAGAGTGGGGGAGGACGAGGAGGCTGTCTTGGGAATCTCAGCCTGAATGAACTCCGGACAGGCTCTTTTGACCTTCTCCTGGCTACCAAAACAAACGCACCCAAAGACACATAAATCCTCCCATGGGATGAAATGTGCTGCAGAGTGCATTTAAAGGGCAAATCCTCTGGAATGAGCTTGTCTGTTTAATCAAAGATTAGCAGCTGCCACAGTGAACACCATCTGTGCCCAAATAAATGTACTCTTGTTTTCTACACCAGCCTTAAAGGGTTACTTCTCTATTTTCAACAAGGACTCTATCTTCCTGTTTTTTTTAAAGGGCTCTATTACGTTCATTTCCAGGTTCATATTTGTATTCTGTGTCTCTACTCTGACATGTTTACATGCTTTAATGTTCAATCAAGTGCTTTATTTTTCTCATATGCCAACAAAATAACTCTTCCCATCACTCCCTTTTCAAATCTCGCTCATATTTCCACCATTGTCCTCTCGCATCCATTCACCTCTTAGTAGACATACTGCATATTGATTGATTATGTAGTTTTACATACAAGTGACTGCAACTTTCACCTAATACTAAATTGAGTTTTCCCATGTGTCACTTACGGCCCCTACACACGGCGGCGTGCGTTGCCGCTTCAACGCTTCTGCCCATTCACTTTGAATGGGGTGACGTCACGATTCGCCAAACTGCATTGTGGGAGTAAAGCGTAGCTTCTCTCGCGGTGCTCGCTGCAAAAGTAGAGCAATGTTCTACTTTTGCCGCCTCGACGGAGGCGTCAGCCAATCAAATCCCGCGTATGCAAATCGGACAGTACAAGCGCTAGCCAATCAAACCGCGTGTATGTTGGGAGAGCCAGACCGCAATTATTTCCCATATGTCAAAAAATGGAGGAGAAAATTATCGTGGCGGTACTATATGACCAGTCCCTCTTTACATACAGGGATACAAACCGGAGGAGCCAGGCATGGGGGGAGGTGGCAGAGACAGTGGGTGAAACTGGTAGGTTTTCGCCTGTTTGGGGAGTTTATAGCCAGTGTACTTCGTTTGAATGGACAGCTAGCAAGCATAGACAGTATATTTAGCCAGCATGGATGTAGCATGAATGCTTTGCTTTGTATGTCCGGGGCGGGACATTCATGTGATTGGTTGTTGGTCGCGTTGCTCGCGCTGACTCCCCAAGCTCAAGACACGCCCACCGCCAAGCGGCAACGCACGCCGCCGTGTGTAGGCTCCGTTAGACACAAAAACATAGGAAGATAGGGCCAAGGTTGGAAAATACTAAAGTGACCCTCCCACTGGTGTTTCCTTAATGTGACTCAGAGAAGCAGCGTTTATTGGGAATTAGCCTAACAAAGTCAACCAGGATTACACGGTTCATACAAGTTGAAGTCAACCATGGATTTATTTAGTTAATTCTTTGAAACACAGACCTGTAACATTAAGCACTTATGACATGAATTTAATGTGAAGGAAAAAGTAAAGGTAAAGACAAGACTGTGTTCTTGAGGGGTGTTTCATGAAACAACAATTACAGTTAACATTTTGTTTGTAAAAAAAGGACAGCAATATTTAGAGGAAATAGGTTCACCATTTTGAAGGTTCCTCCCCTAAGGTTCCTTTTTTTTTTACATAAAATATGAAATAATCTGCAAAGTCAACACACTGAATGCTGTATGTGATCTTAATGAAGTAGGTGGCTGGAAGTGGCCGATGGACAATCTGAAGGTAATTACTTTACTTTCACAATATTAACCAAGTAAAATAACCCACTTCATTAAGAACGTTTACATACCTCATGTGGGATGTGGACCCAATATGTCACATGACCAACAAACACAGGAACAAACTGAGTGCAGCACATGTTGTGCCTCTCTCTCTTCCGGGTGAGATCGCTGCGGACCTAGACATTGATGCCATTACTGCTCTTGCGTTGTTTATGCTTGTGATTTCGCTCTTAATGACTGAGTTAAACCTAACGATAGCCGATTACCCCCCAATGAAGGTTCAAGGTTCAGGACATTATACAGAATAGCATTGCAAATACACATCACCATTAAAACAACCCAGTTTATTACTTCAATGCATTGCATTTATATGTACAATCATTTTCCTGTATAATGTGTCTGTGTATATTATATCTTAAAAAAATGTAAACTAATGTTTAGACTGATAAAATACTTTATTATTATGTATCATATATGAAAAACGTGCTATACAAAAAGTGTATTACTTTTATTATTATTATCATTATTTATAAAAAATATTTGTGTATATATATGCAAGCTGCTATACAAATATTATTATATTATTATGTATTTATTATCCTAATTATTCAAATTTTAATATTATTCACAAATGGGGAAATACATGGGAAAAGCTAAATGTTTAAGGAAGATTTCTAGTTATACGTACATACTTTTACACACACATATGTGCGATATTAAAGTAATGTGCCGGTTAGTGCAACAACAAAACATAGTAGTCTAGTAGTTATAACGATGGTAGTGCAAAGGCCTCGCTTACTGACACAGGATTTTCTGAATTGAAGCGCTTGACTTGCTTAAATAAGCCTGGTTTAACTGGTTATCTTGACTTGTTTTGCTTTTTAGAAACCATCACACAGACAGATGTTTGTAAATGTTAACTCACCTCCTTAATCACTAAGGTCTAGCCCAAACAACACACAGTGACTGTCATTCACAAACAGGTGTGCACTTGGAAAGGAAGCACGACACTGTGAGTTTATCGGGTTCAGTCAATACGAACCGTCACAGATACTCCTAAAGATTTAATTAGGGGCAGTGTATACTTTAACTACTTGTATTGCACAATCAATACTTTGAGATGTTGAGACTTCTAGAGTATTTTCAGTGTGGTATTAGTACTTTTACTTCAGTAAACGATCTGAATACTTCCACTACTTGCTGCAGAGTCACAGTTCAGACATGATCTTGTTTTAGGTCTTCCCTGGAAAAAGTCTGTAAGAGGAATGCTCTCTCCCAGATTACAACACACACACACACACTCGGAACGAAAGGTGGGCAGAACGCCTTCGAGCCATCAAAACCAGTTCTGTTCACAAACAAAATGCAGCTCCGAATGAATCACCACTTCTCTCCCACCTGCCGACACACGCTCCCACTGGCACACATGCTCGGAGCGAACACAAGCCTTGACACGGCAGGATCCACTCTTCCACGCGTTTCATGCCAAACTCTCATCGCCTTCTTTACACTAACTGAGTCTTGAGTTGTTACGATGCAGGATACTTGAAGAAATCAAGTCCTGATTTGTTGACAGATGAAAAAAGAGATCAACTTTGTGCTGAGTTTCATCTTTGAAATGGCGTTGTTCTCTGAGTAACACCTGGTTGTGTGAATCATGTTGAAACCAGCCCGTGGCAGGCGGAGCGCAGCTGGAAACAGTGACTGCTGTTCATCCTGTCAAAGCCACCTTGAGATTAATCAGCCATTCCTGTTCATGGTCATTACTATCAAATGGAAGCTCAGTCAGGAACTGGGTTTCTTGTGTATGATGAAGTCGTCCTGAAACCAATTATTTTAAATGCTTTCATTTTGGCTTTGTTAATGCATATGGCCTACTTTGCCTACTTTATGTCAATTGAATTTAAGTTTAAGAAGTTTAACCTCAGCTACTACGCTAAGTCCATTATAAAATGTTAAGCCAAAATACGGATACCTAGATTCTTAACCTCTTAATGTATAGCAACAGTTTGACAGATATTTGGAAGCCATTTTGAACCACTTCAATTATAGGAACATGTCCCAAACACCAGGTTGTTGATCCCTGCCTAAGGGCTGTACTTTTCCAATAAGAATGTTCTTTATGTATCTCTTTGTTTTGATATATTGCATGATTTAGTAATCATGCATTTTCTATAAAAACACTGACATATCTAAGACTGAGGAAAAAGACTAGCATGTTGTGTAAAGAGCAGTGGCATTGTGTAAAAGAAGGTTGAAAATGTTAAAATAGGTTAATATTTTGTAGCAATCAGGACTGATGTTGGTTAGAACAATTCAACATTAAATTGGTGGGAGTGGATTTTTTTTAATGTTTTTTAAAATAATTCTATAGCAGTTTTTTGACGATTATGTTCCTACAATAAGCTACAAAAACATTACCAAAGTTACAACAATAAAGGTCACTTCACAAGGGGTGTATATGCTTTTTTCAGAAACGATGTCAGGTATTTCCACAAAGCAACGTGACAACCCCTTCCTCTCAGGCCCCTATCCGTCCAAACATAATGACCTCATTCACACTTACAGTTTGTGCCCGACAGCTAGTTATTACATAGCTTATTTGTATATGTCTTATTTACCATAGTTAGCCCTCTATTTTCACTTTTAAAATGATAACAAAATGTTGCCTGCCGCTTCATTTGAGTGGTTTCTATCACCTCATTTAACTCCAAGCAAGAAACTCTCCTTTAACCTACACTGTGTGAGCTTAATCAATGTTTTTACAACAAGAATGATTAAACATGCAGAAACTTGTAGAAATCACACAAAGATGTTGCTTTGGTGATTTGGAAGTATTTACTGTGTGTTGTTTCATTAAACACACCTCCTGGGTGACTAACCCTGAAGGTATTTCAAGCTCGTCCAACAGGGAGGAGACCTGGTGACTGACCCATAACTCATTTTGGATGGATTAAATATTGACACTGTCCAATGAAAACCATTCAGGTGATTTATAATAAAAAATAGGCAAAGTTTTTTTTTACGTGTTGAGGAAATGTTCTTCTTAAAAGGGGCCCTAATATGCTTATGGGGGGGGGGGGGGTTCTTTCCTGTACTGTGTTATAAATGATAAGTTGATAGGCATGTAAATGGTGTCCAACTTTGTTGACAGTGACCTTTGAGCACAACATTGTAATCAGTTTGTCCTTATGTCCAACTTGACGCTTGTTCCACATTTGAAGAAATTCAGCGCATTCTTGTGAATGGGCCGAGGCTACCAGAAAGGAGAAACCAATGATTTTTCTGTCGCTATTGACCAACGCACTTTTATTTCATTTGTCACGAAATATGTCCCTATGAGAAATAGGAAGCGGAGAGACTCGAAAAGCCTCTCTAAATGAGCAGGAAACTCAATGCTTCCAACCATTCCACTGATGCAATTCTACCATTTAAATGTATTGGATAATATGGAAAATAGATATGAAAATGTCTGTGGTGACATCTTATGTGGCATGTGGGTGTCAGAAAATAAATGTATGGTCTACTTGTGTAGTGTTGATAGTACACTATAGTATAAGTACTTGGTGTGCTTACCTCTCGGTGGTTGCTGCGAGCTTCACTCCTTCCCGTCCTGGAAACAGCTGTCCTCGCTCCTTCTTTCTCGCTGGCCTCCAATCCCAGCAGCCTTTCTGTTGACCTGCCATGGCTGGAAAATATCACCAACTAATGAGTGAAAAGCATGAGGCTTCCCTGACCTCGCTAACACACAGGTGGTTTCTGACATCATTTCCACCAACATGAACACGACGATGACAGCTTGATAACAGACTCCAAACAGCCCCTGTGCAGCGGAAAATATCCTTTTTCTGAGAGTCAACACTGCTATTGTTGCTAATAAGAGACTAGATAACATCCTGTTGTACGGCAGATATAACATTCACCATATCGTTTAGCATCATAGCAAGCTAACATTTAATTAAAAAGCACAAAGAAGAACTGAGGCTGTTGGAATGTCATTAGTTTTGTGGGAATTTGATCATAAATCAAAGTATTCAACAAACTGATGGCGGCGCAAGATGAAAAGTAAGAGGAACACCACATTTATTACAATTCATCCTGAGGGGAACATAAATGTCTGAACCAAATTTCATAGCAATCCATCAACTAATAGTAGAGAGAGAACAGAGATATCACTCAAAAGCTGTTTCTTGTTAGCACATGTGTTAGCTTTGCTGCTAAAAAGAGTATTCAGTATTAACATACAATCAAAAACACAACGTAACCTTTCAAATCTTATTATTTTGAATATTTGACCCTCCTATTATCCTTTAGATCAGTGGTTCTCAACTGGTCAGGCCTCGGGATCCACTTTTTCCTTTGTCAATAGATCGCGACCCAACATTTTTAAGCACTCAAATCTATTCAACAAAAAATCGTGCTGTAATATATAAGCTTTTCAGCATACAATATTAATACAAGTGAAGTACAGTGCATATCCCTTATATCCCTTCACAGAACTAAAGTATGCTTTTAAAAAAGGTTTAATGAGATGATGGAATCAAAGCTGAACTATATAAAAAGGCACATGCTGAAAACCCAACCCCAGAAGGGGGTCTGGGGGGATTCTCCCCCAGGAGATTTTTAGAAATACTAACATAAACTATGCATTCTGGTACACTGAAAAGAAAAGAAATAAATCTATTACTACCCGACATATTAATAATATTTTATGCCATTGTTTGTTTTTCACTTTGTTCTGACATCTTGCTGCGAGAAGAGTAAAGAGGAGATAGTCTGTGTGACTTACTTCAAATTGTGGGTAAGGGTAGATAGCTCCCATTGTTCTGTGTTCTGTCAGTCATCAGACCGGGGGTCATATTTCATTATGTGTTCATTTTTATCTGAAGTTGTACCCATGGACAGGGGCGGTTCTAGGGGGGTGCCAGGGGGGAACAGTGCCCCCCTAACACTGACCTCCCCTAACAATGAAAAGTTTTTTTTCCCGTTTTTTAAAAATGTATATTTTCTGGTACTCGGTTTGCCAAAAACCGCAGGATTTTGTTGCTGTAATGTGAGATTGTGCAGACACCCTTATGTAAAGTAGAGATGTAACTGTTCATTGCCTTTATTTTTATATAAATATGGTGTTAGTGCAAACATTGCACTATAACTTAAGCTGAAGCTAACAGTAATAACTATAAGATCTATCTGAAATAAATAAGTGTACTGAAACAAATACCAATAACTGTATTGCATTGTTTTCTTATGCGCAATTACTTCATACTGTCTAGTTCTCTTTTTCGTCCTGCATTTATTGTGCCCCCCTCAGAAAATAACTGGCCCCCCAGTGGCCCCCCCAGTCAAATTGGTCTAGAACCGCCACTGCCCATGGATGTATAAAGAATAGTTCTACCGCAAAGTTATTCTCCGTGGGGACTTCCGACAACAATCTTGATTCTGATTGGCCAGAAGAATCGGAAAAACATCAGCAAAGATATTTTATTGAGAAGATGATCACTATGTCAAAACCGTATATGGTCTCCGGTACTTCCAGTCCAAGACCGACTGCATGCACAGCGTTAGAAAATTGGGCATTCAAAATAAAAGTTTGACTTTTCCCCCATTTTTTTTTTTTTCCAATTATTTTTTCTTCACTCACACATCCGCGACCTCACTCGAAACGGGTCCGCGAACCACTCGAAACGGGTCCGCGACCCCACCAGTTGAGAACCACTGCTTTAGATGATTATTAGAAGCCACTATTGTTTCTAATCATTGTTTGATGTTCAAAATACATGATTGAGGATTGAATCCAGGCTTTTTCAGGTGTATAAAAACATAGAAGAATGTACCATCATTTGTTTTGGCTGACATTGGGGTCACTGTCACATGCAATCGTATTATCTTTAGGGCCTTAACCTGCCATAACCATCCCTGTAACATTTGTAAAGGAATCCCTTTTGAGTCCCATACTGTGGGGGATGGGAAACATGGTGTTCTGTGAGGTTAGGGTTCACTAATGTAAAGGACAATAAAATAAAAATACTCATCTTGCTTTGCCCAATGGCCAATGGTTACAAAATGCCAGGAGTACAGGGGCCATTTCATTAACAAGTAATCAAAAATGTATCAGATAAATGGATTTGGTGCTTGACGGGATTTTGTGGAATCTCCCCCTGAACTGTTTTGTAGTATTAAAACAAGCTCTATTAGTGTGTTTTTTATAATGATTTTGATTTAGCTGGAAACTAACTGTGTTTCAGCAAGCCAATATCTGCCATTTATGTATGTATTGGGTAATAAGTCCTTCAGGGCAGAGTTACACAAAGCACTTTAAATCTTCACACTTACGGAGCTTACACACGGCGGCGTGCGTTGAAGCTTGCCGGCGGGCTTGTCTGAAGCTCGACCAACAACCAATCACCTGAATCTCCCACCCGGGACACACAAGCAGCGGTTTGATTGGCTAGAGCTTGTACTGGCATATGATTCGATTGGCTGACGCTTCTGCCGAGGCTTAAAAAGTAGAACATTGCTCTACTTTTGAAGCGAGCAACGCGACCAAAGCAATGCGACCAAAGCAACGCGACCAATGCAACGCTTTGCTCCCACAATGCAGTTCGGCGAAGCGTGACGTCACCTCATTCAAAGTGAATGGGCAGAAGCGCTTCAACTGCACTTCATTTTCCTCATTCTTTTTTAGGAAAGATAGATTTTTAGGCAAAGCGTTGTGATGAACATATGTTTGGCATTTTAATATCCGTTTAAGAATAAACGATAAAGTGAATGATATTTATGTCATTCATAGTTGCACCTCTTTTTCAGAAAAATCTGTTCTTTAACAAGTTTGTCAAATACATAACGCCCTACAGCCGGATTTGTGGGGGTTGTCAAATCAATAAACCCTGAGTGTTGTGTGATTCTGTCAGATCTAATACAGTAGATGTTTTTGATATTTTTCTCGAAAATCGTCCCCTTATGTATTTCACGCCAAAAATGGTAAAACTACTTTTGCCCTGAGGTATGTTTTGTAATTTAAACTGTTTTCCCCGAAAGATAATCCCATTGGAATCAATCTAACATTCTGTACAAACAAACAAAAAGTGTTGAACTCTGAGACTCTCTTAGGACATTATGAATAGAGTTCTGCCTCTGGTGGGTTTATACAGCTTTATGCCCTCAAACCTAGATTCCAGCTGAAGTCTACATTCTCAGGCAGACAGTCAGTATTAAAGTGCTGAGAAACAATGCCGCGGATATCTAATTACAGCAGCGTTTTGGAATTTCTGGCCTTATTTGGTTTTTTTGTTTCCCGAAAAGGCAATGAGTGAATAATCTCCTCACGTGACCAGTTTACATGCTGCTGGGGCACAAAGTGGGAGGGTTTCTGTAAGCTACATTTAAAAAATGCGGCCGTGTGATCTCTAATAGAGGGGTAGAGCACGAGCCTTTGATCTGGTGTTTAGCGGTGTGTGATGGCTGTTCGGCTTTATACTGGGGGGGAAAGCAGAGAAGCATTGGATGTCCTTTGTGCTAATTGCTTGCACATTTACCCCCTTTTCCTCTGCCAAGGAACTTTAGAGGCTGTTACTAACAGAGAGCAAGAAATAAACATCTGACTTCTGCCAAACACAACATATAGAAGGGTTTTTACATATTATTATCCAAAATTGGCTGAAAATTGACCTTCAATTCCTTTATTACCTTTTGTCCTGGCTCTGGTTCTTGTTGTTCGCTGATGTTTGGATGTTGTTTGACTCAGACTGCTGGCTGGTACTGCCAGGCTCTGTGTTTCCACTGCTCACCAAGTCCAAGGAGACTGGGCACAGGTAGCCGTTGCCTGGATATAGAAAACAACACAAAGCTGTTTCAGACTTTGTAATAAACCGAGAGCAGGAACACAGTTTGTTGGAATTCAAGCCGTGTGAAATCATTCTTTTTCAATCACACAACACATTAGGTCAGGGTTCACACCGAGGCCAGTGGCGCAAAGCCTCCAGAGTTTGTCCTAGTAACAGTTTGATTAAGATAGTAATGTATTACAGTGCAGTATCTGTGGTACAGGGCATTATCTTTAAGATAGGAAGAGGAAGCAGCTTGATGAGTTGTTCTAGATAAGGGCAAATAGTAAGTGTTTCTTTAGGTTATAAACATTCACTTTTACTTGTTTAACATTGATAGAACCACAAACCAAATGATTGCTAATAAAGATGGGAAGAGGCTAACTACAATTACTTAATCATAGATAAAAAAATAGCAAAATAAATGTCGAACGGCAAAAGAGGGAAATGACTTAAAGTAAAGGCACATGTTTGTGCTTTGGATACCATTTACATGCACACAAACCTATTTAACACACCACAGAACAGAACAGTGCTGACAGTGATCTGACAGATGCTCAAAGGGAATTCACAACTGCAGAACTTGGGGATAATTATCTGTGTTTGTCGATGTGCGTAAGCCCTTGCAGCATCACACATGGAATCCATTGGTAAAATAACTATTCAGTGCAGTTTTATGAAAATATAAGATGTTTAAGATAAAAGGCTTTCTGAAATAAGCCACTAATTCCATCACTTTTTTTAATGTGTTTCCAGATAGAAATCAGAGTGGATTCATTTTGAAATGTCTGTTTTATGTAGTTTGTTCAAAAGGGTTCATGGTTTGATTTCTACTACAAAGCTGCTAAAGAAAGTCATCATAAAACACATTTGTGAAACAATTATGGTCCAGGAAGCCATTGACAAGAGGGAACCCTTTTTTTGGATTAGGACCCCTCGTGTATGACCCACATTGCTCTAATGAAGCAGCCTATAGGCACAGTCTTTATTACAGGACCTTTCCAGACCCTGCAATAAGTCTGACGCCAGATGGGTGCTTCTGTCCACTCTGTGGCAGCACACAGAGGAACCTGCCCGCTGCTAATCATCCAGCCTATTAGGATGTGTTTAGGAGGTCTTTTATGGATCATGTTTGGTTTTTATGATGCCTGAAGGTAAGAGACATATGTTTCCCTGCACATCTGTGTGTGTATTTCTGTCTCTCTTTTTTTATGTAACTTCCTGCTCAAACTTCTTCCCATGATTACAAGTCAGTGCTGGGTCAAATGCCTTAAATGAAGTGTGTAAATAACAAGCTGGAAATGTGAGAACATCTGCAGGACGTTAGGACAGTGAGAGAGAGGACAGGAAGTGGCTATGATTGGCCGACGGACATTAAAGCCTGGGTGCATGTTTGTGAGTTTGTTTTTGCGTCTGCTGCACCTGCAGGGGTCTTCTCCAGGGGATCCGAGTCTGGGAGAGTCCACACGGGGGTTTCACCCGCTCCCACGCCCTGCTGCTGGTCTTCCTGCCACCGAGCGGACTCTGCAGCGTTCTCAGAGGACGGTAGACTTGGATCAGTTGCAGCCATCTTTGCTGGACTAGGTTCCTGATGTTTTGATAGAAAAACAAAAAGACAATGCTGAGACAAGCTTTTGATTTTATTCATTAATGCTGATCTCAATCCTCTGAAGCCCAAGGTAACAGATGTATTTGTCCAACAGCCGAAACATCGAAAGATATTCCATTTAGAGCTGAAATCAAATAAATCAATTAGTCTAAGGGCAAAACATTTCATGAAACAAATGCCATGTCCTTGTTCCTTTTGCTGATTTATATTTAACGTTTGAAATTGTTGAATTGGGTAAAACAAGCAATCTGATGCTGCAATATTTATTTTATGCCGTGGCATTGTGATATATTTTCTGACATTTTGTAGGAATGATTCATCGTTTAAGAAAACAAAGTCAGCAGATCTCTAGTTGTAGCCCTATTTCAAAACACAAACACAGAACAAAATTCATACAATTGAACAAAAGCTTTTGGAAAGTGCTAGAATGCCAAATGCAAAGGGACTCATTTTCTGGAGAACATGAAAGAAATCTGAAACTTTAAAGCAATCAGCTCAGTAGAGTTTGATATGTATTAGTAATGTTAGCGTCTATAGTGATAGTTGGTGCACCACTTTGGTCCAGACCAAAATCCGTCCACTTTATGGATAGCAATGTCAATTTGAATGGACGTTCATGTTGCAGATCCTCTGACTTCTCCTGAAGCACCGGCATGTAGACATTTCAGGTTTTCAGTGAAATGTCTTCACAGCTAAGATGGGCGGCCTAGACATTTAGTAAACAAATATCCAAGTACTCTGTTCATCAATTGGCACTACAGGAAAAAACACAACGTGTGCTTTGTTACCTGGGTGGCAACCGGTTCCACTTTGCGTTTCTTCTTCTGATTCGGCTTGTTAGTCCGTAGATAGACGGTGAGCTGATCACTCCACCTGGTAAACAAAGATAGACAGAGCACAGACAAGTCATTAGTTACTATACCGTGACACCTTATTCCTTCCTTTTTTTTACACTTTTTTACTGACCCATTAATAATCTCTTTATTGTCACCGCGGATGAATATTTCCTGTGCTGGAGTGACAATGCCGAGTGCGTTCCTCTGTCCCGTCCTGGGCTCTGCATCGGCGATGTTTGTACACAGATTCAGGTTCACCGTCCCCTGAGGCAAAGTGCTCGGCTGAGGGGAAAGCAGAGGAGAGAGCTAGTTACGAAATCTGGCTTAGCGGTGTTGTTTTTGCTTGGACGACTGACGATGACTGACAGTTAAACAGAGAGCAGTTTGTGGTGTCAAGTGTGGAGTGCAAGAGATTTGAGAGGATCACAGAGAGTGGGGGATGTGTGCATTAGAGGACAGCCTAAGCCCAAATCATCTGCACACAACATCTGGCCTAAACATGCCTGCTGTATCCCAACACACTGTAAATGCAGATGCATGTACAAAGCAGGCTTGACTGTACACAAGGGCTGAACCCTATAGTTTGAGCTTCTTTTATGGCATTTCACCAACATTTGAATGCTGGGCAGCTTCTTATTTGACTTGTCTATTCGTTGTGTTTAAACGCTGTATTTTCTGCACATTATTTCTGAAAAACATTACTAAACAATTTGTAGAATTAGAATCCAGTGGTGACTGTATATCATTGATTCCAAACATCTCCAATAATTCCAGAGTGATGTGAAATCCAAAAATAGATTTTCATGATTCACAACCTTTATTTCTCTACATTAAATATTCTTCTACATACATGTTTCATGTTCAGGTTTAAAAATAACATTTGTATTAAGGTCAGTCAAAAACAAAGTCTAACAGCGCCACAAATTAGTTATATAACCACTTCACCAAAAATCTATTTTGGCTCTAACAAATATAGTAAATTAATGAAGTGGTATCAATGAAAAGAATATAATATTAGTTTCCCATGTATGCCTGGTGCTCCATCTAGACAACATCACTTTCATACTGAAAACTACTTCAGTTTGGAAGCATTAAACGTTGATTTAAAAAGTTGATATAATCCGATGAATCCGTTTGTAGAAAAATATGTTATATAATAAATGTTAATATAGTTTTAGGGGGACATTTAACCTTTTGTTCCAAAATAATGACATGGTGGAGCCCTACTGTACAGTGCTACATGTTCTTTTGTTTGGGTTGGGGAATGGTGTTACTATCTGAGCACTTACCAGTTCATCCAGGGCGAAGCTCAGGCTGCCGTCTTCATACAGAATAAAGAAGCGGCGCTGCCATTTCTGTATTAACACAAGACAAATAAAATCACCACAGCACCATTTTTCTTGAGTAAAAAGTCCTGATAAAGATGTATAAAATAAAAAGTGTGTTTCAGCTTTGTGTAATCATGTCCTACCCGCGACCTCTGCATCGGGTTGGCAAAATCTGTTCCCTCAGGCGCCAAACACAGCCAGCCTCCATAGACGGGTTTTGCCTGGAGGAAAGTGGAGTTAGCATTCAGCCTCTGGGGTGTTGGAGCACACACCAGTATTGATTGACAACTGTTTATGAAAGAATTCCAGCTAAAATATCAAACATATTCCAGTTCCTGTCATCTTTACTTAAATATATTTCCGTTTGTTTTTTGATTGTTTCACGGTCGATTATGGCATCAATTTGTTCTATGATGTGTTGTATTCACCTTGCTGGGATTAACCAAAGCCACATTGTCCCTGAGGTGTGTCAACAAAGTAGATCAAATCTAATCTATGTGGCTAGTTTTAGGAGGTGATTTAGAAACAGTGTGAGTCATTTTGAATAAGCAGGTCATTTCAAAGAGTCATTTGAATAATCAGGTTAATCAATAGTGAAACTAATCTCTAGCTGTGGCCCAGATAACTGATCAAGAAGACACTTCATTTGGCTCAGCTTTTGTTTTGGTGGTCTACCCAAACAGATACAGTATTGTTTGGGTAGACCACCAAAACAAATCAACCTGATTATTTATTTGGTTTGGTCTATTAAATGTCAGATAAGGCCTCTTCGATTTTTGTATTGCTGTCTGATTGTGCTGAAAACTCGCTGGCTGTATACTTCTCTATCAAAGTGTTATGCACACAGTATGTGTTTTGCAAAGTGTTCAGCACAGCTGAGGGTAAAGCCATGTGCAATGTTGAGCAACAGTGCTGAAATTACAGGGCACAGTGAAACCAGGCAGGGGGACAGAGTAATAACATATTTTAACAATGTGAGGCATGCAGGAAGCCATCATGATGGACTCCTTACATCACCTGCACATGACAGACCTGCAGGAGCAATGTTTTCAGAGGCGGTAAACCAAGAGTTTAGACACTTAATGTGAGCACAAAGACTTGTCTATTCTGCTGGAATGTTTCACCAAAAAGAGGATTGAGAAAACATTTTGATATTTGATCAGCCTTATTATTTGACATATCCAGTAAAGGGCAAACATTTGAGATTCCACCATCTCAAATAGCTCTTTTATAGCCGCAGGTACATTTAAAATGAATCAAAACCATTTGATCTTTTGACGAATCAATTATCACTAGGAATTTGAATACAACACCTAGGGCTATTGAGATTGCAAAATATGTGTCTTTATTTTTTACATATTAGACAAGATGATTACCCAAGTTAACAAAATGTATAATTTATTCAAAGAGATGTAATATTTTACATTGTGTCCCTTGCATTATTAATATCTTACTCGGACCCACTTAATGACAACAAAAACAACACCATCCACACCCTTATATCTCAAAATGTGGTACTTGGTTGGTTCAACTTATTCCACAATTAATAAAATAAACCCATAAATAATCAAAACAGTAGTAATCTCAATTTTAAATATATTTATTGAATCATTATTCTCAATGCATTTGTGTACAGTCCCTAACTAAGCAGACATTTTCAGGCATTTTTTACTTTTTTTTGGACTAAACAGATAAATAATAGAACATTAATTGAAGGAAACCAGCAAACATCCGGTCAATTAGGGATGCTAACATCCATACAATAGTTAGGCTATGTTGGAAAACGATGTCGAATAAGAGTTACAAAAATATGTTTTGAGTTGTAACAGGTGACAGTTTCATTTTAATAAGCAATGTTAGGGTAAAACCACCTTTCTTGTTGAAAAAAGTAACAAACATTGCCTAAGTAAAAATGTAAAGTTTAACGTTAAGAAAGAGGATGCTAGTAACAAAAGAAACAGACCACTACGTCGAATACGAGTAACAGAAACATTTCAAAATAGCCTATATTTTAATCTGTTAGAAAGGCCGTTTTACTTTTTTAAAGAATTGACTAAGTGTGGTGTCGCATTAATGATAATAATACAAGTGTAACGTTACCTGCTCCATGTCATGGTCGTTCAGCAGATGCAGCTCGCGGGACTTGAAGCAGTTTTGACATTTACTTTTATTAAAGATGTTGGCTTGAAATTTGTTGCACGGGTTCGTCCCTTTTTCTCCCGACATGTTTCGCTCCTGTGCTGCAGAGTAATCCACAAACAACCCGCACTCCCTCCTGCGATGTTTGGCATTGAATGGTGATCCTACTGAACCAACATCTGTCAAACTGTTGACTCTCTATCGTCATGGGCGGGTCATCTGACGCGGTACATCCAAACATCCGCTCACAACCTTCAAAATAAAACAATATCTTATTTTTATTTCTCTAGATAGAATAAATAAATAAAAATAAGAATATACATCAAGTTACCAAGGACAAATCAATATGTTATTGATTACTTTGTTTATTTTAGTTAACATATTTTCACATTTAGAACTAATACAATGAAAGAAAATACAATTGAAAGGAAAAAATGTAGAAATGTAAGTGTGTTGCAGTCTATGTACAACAGTCAATACAAAAGTGACAACATAACATGTAAAGGTCATAGGTGTTCAAATACATATTTTTCCAGGTGGCTGAAATACTTTTATGTGCCTTTCCCCCACCATCAGCAGGTCATTGCTTATCTTCCTGCTGGTACTGTCTGTTTCTCCAAAATGCCACTAACTATATGGCCAAGCACTTTAACCCTCCTGTTGTCTTCGGGTCAAATCTGACCGATTTACTATTTTCATCAATCATAACTTTTTTGTTTTAGATTCGGTTGCATTAAGGCTTTATGAAATCCTTCACAGTAGACATTTGAACATGTAGAATTGCTGATCACCACTTTCATTGAATTTTGGACGATTTAGTCAACTTTGTAACACCCATGGTGTTCCCGGTCAAAAATGACCGCCATAAAGAAAAGGAATTAGTAACCATCCGGATCAGATCAAACACACACAGACACACCCACACATACTCTAGATGTGTGTGTCCCCCCCCTTATGTGCCCAATCCTGTCATGTGAATCACACTTGACACTCACAAACAAACAAACAAACACACACACACACAAACAACAATTTGACACATTTCCCACTCTTATGTGCCCCTCCCCCCACATGGATCACACCTGGCACACGCAAGACATGTTCAGTGTGTTCTTTGTATATTTACTGCAGTTTTTCATGTGTACCAGTAGTCTGATACAATATTTACAGTTTGAAAGAGTGTTAAATGAAATTTGGTGATGATTAATGGTTTTTGTGTTAATGTAATAGCAGTTAAAACAGGACCGCAAACACCAAAGTAAGGGGGGGAAACGAATAGGAGGGTTTTAAACAACACATAACAAAATGACGTAAAAAGTACCCCTTTAATGTAGTTTTGCAGTGCAGGACCAATAGAGGGCAGGGAAGGCTAATTAATGATCCAAGGCCATTGACGTACTGTCACTTCTGGTAACACCATTTTTAATTAAACAAGTTTATAGACGGAAGTGGATAAAACATATTTACTAATTATAACAATTTGTTAAACATGTGTCTATAACTAAAATAAAACATAAATAGGCTACTTACTACCGGTAATACTTTTCAGAATAAAACAAAAAGCTGTGATTCTAAAACATCCCATAATATGACTTGTTATGTTAAATAAATGAATAATAAGAGAAGTTGAGTATGTAATATTCTTCCGCATCCAAAATAAATGTAATCGAGCAGTGGTTGTTTTAACACAGTGTTATTATGGATATGACTTAAGATGTTAATAAAAGATAATAGAGGGACCTCTGTGATAAAACAATTAGGTATTTGAATAAATATCTACTATTTACACATTTTAAATACATCAATAACCAGCCATAACTGATCCAATCATAATGCACAAAAGGATTCCTCACAGACAGACTGACAGTGGATGGAAGCATGTATTCAAGGCAATGGCAGTGGCTGAATTTGTACAAAACAAAAATGTTTTTAAATGATTGGCCATTCAAAAACATATAAGACAGAGTGGCTTTTTATGATCTGTGATATTTATTGCACTAAAACATAATGTGGTATCAGACACATCCCGATATCAGACAAATCATTTGGGATGTTTGCGCTTGCACTTTTCAAGCAGAAGTTATTTTCTAATAATACATTAATGCTTTCATTGGATCCATTTTCTTTGATTGTTCACAAAAATAATACAGGTTTTTGAAAAAAGTCATTCAGTTTGCGATCAACAAAACTTAAAGGTGCATTTATTAACATATACTGCTTAGTTTTTTTTATTAGACCAACGGAAGCTGTTTACCAATTTGCTTTTCTTTAAAGTCATATTTGACACAAAAGGCCCTTGATTTAAGACAAAACACACATTTCCCCATTACCGTCAAAATGTTTAAAAAAGATTACGTTTAGATTTAGTTAGGGCTGTACCAAATGCCATCTTTAAAAAAAAATTGAAGCTTCTATTGAGGTTTTAAATATATTGTCACATATTTTATTACATCGTCACCCTGAAAAGCGAGGACAATTTGATGTTTTTGTTAGAAATTGCATTTAGTTGAATAACATATAATTGAATGAATAAAACAGGTTCATATTGGTACCACCATTTGTGTGCAGCAAGTAGGAAAGCAAAAAAAAGGTTTTTGACCAAAGGCAAATTGTTGATCTTGAAACACCAACAAATATGGATTGAAGCAGATTATTTGGTTGGATAAAAATGTGTTTGGAGTCAGAAACAATGTAATGCAATGTAATGTAATGCAATGCAGCCACTACTGGAATCAATTACAAAAGTATAATAAAACCAATCTTTATCTGCAACCTTGAACAAATACCAGCTTTAAAGTAAATGAAAAGACATCAGACAAAAAAAAGAAGCTTTGCAGCATTCAAATGTTAATTTAATATTTGAATGTAGCATTTTAGTTTTGAACTGCTCAGTACAACCCTGTATTTGATCTATGTGAGCAGTGTAATAGAGTTGTATATGTTTAATGACTAATATTACGTAAAGACGAAAATATGACTTTTCAAAAAATCAATAAAACCTTTTTTTTTCTCTCATAGCCACACAATTAACATTTATGATGGCTTTTCAAATCGAAAACAGTGAAATTAATGTTTGTGCTCAGTAGGGATATCTAAACATTTGACTGTGTATAGTGCATACTCCATAAGACAGCTACACTGGCATCGTCAGGCAGTATTAGATAAGATACATGTCACATTCATTCTACTACAAATGTAATGGATATTGATAGGGATGTCACACGAACAGATACTTAGGTACCAAGTTGATGCAAGCATTTTGATCGTATGAAAGTACAGAAATTAGGGTACTGTTGAAAGAGGTGTTCATTACATCACTAGCACTCATTTTGGAAGAACGGTTAGTTCATGTTTGCTGTTCGCAACCGGTTTAGTGGAAGGGCCATAGAGTTTCACTGTGAAGCGTTCAAAATGAATAAATCAGCGAAGGTAAATGAAATCGTTGTCATGACGTGTTAAAAAAAAGGTCTTTTAAAAATGTTGTTTTTGCCAGCTCTGTTGTGATTGGTCAACCGTATAGAGATGAGTCAATGTGTCAAATGTCCCGCCCCTTAGTATATAACATACAATTACACATTAGGTATCAAGAATTGTGGAATTTCATTGGTATGGTTATCCACTACTAAATATCTGGCATCGTGACATCCCTAGATACTGCAGTATTATTTTGTATTCACTCAGTTCAGTTCAGGTGTTGAAGCTAAAGCTAGGAGTTAGATATTCGGTGAAGAAACACACACTTCAGTCCAGTTTGTTAGGTAGAAGATGTAATAAAATAAGTATTTTCTTAAATAAAGAAACCGCCCGAACAGAATTCTACTTTCACAAACAGAAAGAAGGACTCTCCTGTGCTTTCAGAACTCATGTCTGTGGTACTGGTCCGGATCGTAGTATTTGGTGACCACCACTCTGTTGGCAAACTTGCGGCCGGTGAGGGCTTGCATGGCTTTCTGACCGTCTGCAGCAGAAACATACTCCACAAAGATCTGGAGGGAAAACAAATGAGATAAGTAACTAAATAAGTGAGGAAATAAGCATTTAAATAATGATGCATTGGTCGGAATCTGTGAGAAAACCATGCCCTATTCATTCAGAAAAAAAACATATAGATAAATAAAAGGGAAATAAATGTTGCATTATGAAATATAATTTCCAATAAAATATATAAATGTAGTTCTTGTTGTTTTGAAAATATGCATGTTTGTAATATTTGTTTTTATCAAACTATATTGATTAATTTATATTATATTTTGTATTATTCTTTAGGTTTTATTTATTGCCCCCTTCATCGACTTTGCATATAAACAGCGATAATAATAGAGATCTATTCTTTAATGTATTAAATTAAAATTATTTATTTATTTAATATTAAACCCGATATTACAGAACCCCTTTAACAGAGCATTAGGTTCAAATTACAAACATATGGATAATGGAGCATAAAGCCTCAGAAACTATTTTATATAATTGTTTCCAGTTTGAAAATGAAAAGCAAGGCAGTGATTGGTCAGATTGAAGGAGATAACCTACACTGTGCTTTGCCAGACCAGAACGAGGAAGGCATAAATCGATGTGCTGGCTTTGTAAGAAAAATGTAACAGGTATGATAATAACTGGTATAAAGTCTAAACTAGTACCTTCCCACAGCCGGGGACCTCCACCCCATCCACGGGTCGGGGGATCTCGATGGAGCACACGCTGCCGTACTTGCAGCACTCTTCTCGGATGTCCTCCAGGATCTCCTCGTAGTCCTCGTCGTCCACCAGCTCCTCAGGCATCACCATGTTGAGAAAGCACAGCACCTCCGTGGGCAGGCCAGAGTTCTGCAGCGTCACCGGGGTCTCGATGATGGAGGTCTGGAGGAGTTCCACACATCAGGGAACACTTCAGTCTCCATTCTCTGACTTAAAGCAAATATATTAGAATATATTTCCCATAAAGCCTGCTGCTTCCTGCCATGCACTCCTTGCTTGTTTATTTATTCATGATGATCTTGTTTGTTTACCGTTGTATACTTTAGTGGTTCCCAACTGGGGGAACCCCTAAGGGTATTTGAGGAGATTGCAGGGGGTACGTAGAAATATTAGTGATTGCAATATATTTCCAAACAAAAAAAGCGAGTCTTAATATAATTTTTTATATAAACAAATATCAAGTTTAAAAGCATTTGTATTAAGGGTGAGGTATACAAGTCATTTTCAAGGGGTACACGAGACAAAAAAGGCTGGGAACCACAGTTATACTTAATGCCAACAGAATACATTTGTCATAGCAGGAAAAATAAGGGTACAAATAATTCAATTTAGCTGCTAATTTACAGTCCATGTATTTTACTTTTTCCAGGAAGCCCCGGATTTATAACCACACAAAAAATACGTACCTAATCTCCATCAGGGCCTTAAAGAAGTTAAAAAGTTTGATTGACTCACAGGATTTGCGTTTTTAGCACCCACACTCGCTCTTTGGACTATCAGCTTTTTGTCGCCCAGTTGCATCCCATTGAGCCCATCTACTGCCTGACAGAGAAAACACACACGTTAAAGTAAAAAACGACACAGTATATAATCCGACACATAGAAGACTATAATGACCTGATCTGTAGCACTGATATCGACATATTCGCAAAAGGCGTAACCCTTAGATAGCGAGGTGGTGCTGTCCTTCACCAGATTAAACGCTTTGAGAGGCCCGAACGACGTCAGGAGCTCCTTCACCTGCAAACAGCCAAGAGCGCAGGATGACTGATATTACAAAGAGAACATGCAGGAAGTGATCCATTTCATACCTAAAAGCATCACATCACAATCCAATAGATAAAGTGATTACTGGAAATGACATGTATGCAGTTAAGTAGACTTTACACTGCATTCAAATGTTCATTTCTTTTGGGATTTTAAAAGGTTTAGGATCCACATTAGCGTTAGCAATAGCTATTCTTCCTGGGGTCCAAACACATACAGTCAAACACGCACAGTGTACACACTATAGTCACATGAACACAGAAAACCAAAACAGCTCATACAGTAGACTGAATTGACCAAAAAGGTATGAATCCCTCAAGAAATAATAGATCACAGAAAATGGTGCGAAGTAAACCAAAAGTGATCTTAATTAGGTTTAATAGATTGAGTTGAAATGCATTTAACCAGCTACAGGCACAACGGATGGACGCAAATAATGCGGGAAAAGGATAACATTTATCTAATATTAAAATGAGTTTTTCTCCCGAGAAATGTTGGAAGGTAACAGAAAAGTGATTTTATTTAGATTTAAAAAGTATTAGTTTTTCCAGTTTCAGGCAAATAAATCACAACATTTAGTTAATATGCAAATTATATAAAATAAACTGTAATAAATTAATATTCAAAGTAATTTTTTCCACAAAATTGTGCAAGGTAAATAAGAAAAGAACGTTGTTATTCATTAGATCATAACACTTGGAAAATGTGTTTTCTTACCTTTATATTAAATGCTGAATAAACCCCCCTCCCCATACAAAACTAATGATTAACCCCCACGAAACGCGCTCCAAATGCATGATGGGAGACAGGAAGTAGCCTGCTGGCAGGGAGTGTATCCTGTGGGGACCAGGATGTCTTTACTTGCCTTGTGTTACATGTTGGCATGGCAGCAGTAGATGAGAACTACTGAACAAATTATGAGCGCAGACTTAACGATCTTACAGGCCCCTAGCTGGGGACAAAGTGGGGGAACAAAAATGAAAGAGCTGTGAGTATCAACGCAGTGGCAAGAGACTGCAAGAGTTAGGTCAAAAATAGAAGTCAAGAATATACATCGGTCACATGACAGCTAGTTAGAGTAAAAGAGACATCATTCAATTCACTGTGGAAATGGAAATCATCTGCACAGCTGAGAGCAAAGATGGAGCTGTGGAAACCTTCAGAGTATTAGTACTTATGAGCACTTTCACTTGTTATACTGTCAAAGGAAAAGTCCAACTAGATGTTTCAAAAGGATGACATTGCACATTTCTGTTCAAGCGACCTGCTTTTAAATCTGCCTGTTCTCCACCTTACATTCCAATACTGCAATATTTTATTTATTTTGAGTATTTCGTTATCTTCCGGCAGCTCTTAACGGTGGGTTTTTGAAGAACCAGTAAATATGGTGTACCTTGCTACTGTATGAACAGGGGCTTTACATTCATTGCTGATTTATTGAACAGAAAAAACACTTTGCTTTGCTATCAATCGATTACTTATTTAGAAGAGCATTACAGTTTGCTAACTTCAGCAATAAGGAAATATTCACAGTCGGTAAGATATTAAAATTAATTATCAAAAGAATTCAAGAAAAAAGGTGGACTTTTTCTTTTACAATATGGACTCATGGCCAATATTGATGCCAAAAAAACCAATGCAGAAATAAATATCAGTTTATCAGCCTTTTGTGTAAATATACTGGACTTTGCTTACCTTTCTTTAATCAGTGTGCTTAACATGAGAAAGGTATAAGCAGTTGACTTTGTCACAAAAAGCCATCTTAAATGCTAGTATTCATGTAATAAATGACACGAGGTGATTATTGTGATATCATAGTTAATGTTGGTGTTAATTATCTTGAGAATTGGTCCATTGTGAATACTTCTACAACACAAATACAATCCATTTAATATGAACCTACTTGTGATTTATTATGATGATTTTTAGGGATTCTTTTCTGGGGTCACGTTCTGTTTCTGGCTTTTTTTCTCCCATAACAACGTTTTTGGTTCTTGATGTAATAAGGAAATGTATGACATATTTTGTGCATGTTTATAGTGTGACAAAGAAAAGCCTCCACAAGTGTGAGAATAAGGAAACATGCTTGTGCCTGTTCAATCTGTTCTCAGGGAAATACCTGACACATTGGATTAACCTATGGATTAACCTTCAGCCGCGTTTTTCTCGTTTTGATGCCATTGAACACGACTTTTGATCAGAATAACAGCTAAAGTGAGCATATCTCCGTGTTTTGCTACCTAAAGCTACGTCGTGTATTGTCTGTATTTGCTTCCCCTGTTGCGAGTTCTGATCGCTCAGTGATGATACTTATACTTCTAGAATCTGTAGAATCTCAGCATGTTAGCTAAGCTTGTTTGTGCAGATCCGATAAGTATATCGATCGATTTATACCTAGAGTTCTGTGCTAAGTGCGTTAGCATGTTTTCGCTCAGGGCTCATTTAGACCCTTCTTGTGAGACTTGTGTTTTGTTTCGGCACAAATGGTTCGTATCATCAGTTAGCTGAGTTTCTTCCCGTTAGGATGGTATGACACATTCACAGTCTTTGGGTCTTTGGGGCTTAACAGGTTAAACTGTTTCAAGAATTGTGATAATTATAACCCCTTTTGGAAGCAGAATTAGCCACATTAAGGTCTGGATAAAGGATGTAAAATATTATTACTACTTGAAGTTATAGGTCTGAAAACATTTTGTTTTAAATAATATGATAAGTACCTTGCATAGCTTTATATTGCATTGGTGTGATGTGTTCAAAGCCAGGAGGAGGCACATCCCAATATTTGCAGGTCCTTTTCTTCCTGGTTCTCCTGGGGGAGTGGCTGCAGAGACACGGAAACATCACGTTTAAGCACTATGTTCACACAGAGAGGTGTGTGTTTAAGTAAACACGTGTGAGAGTGAATGGACAAGCTTAAATAAAAGTATGATTATCACACTATAAACAATTTCTGTGAGAAATGAAGCTCAGCGTAAGTTCAACCAGGAAGACCGTCTTTACTCTTCATTTACTATTCCCATGTTACTACTCTCTCTCCTCTCAATAAGTGATCGGGGGCGTCACTCTCCAGCTTAACCAATCACTTCGCTCTATTCCCAAGAGTCTATCATAGCGCTCCGCCAAACCTTTTAAATCTTCTCTCCCCTCTGACAGCTGTCATTTCAGGTGACTCTACGCAACCCTCCTCCACCCCTTTTCACCTCCTGTCCCTCTGAATCCAGGGTTAAGCTCCTCCCCTTCAGACCGACTCCAACTATCCATTCACCACCACCAGTGTCTAGACCCCGGCGGGGTTTCATCGGATCAGTTCTACGATGATGATACAAATGATACTTCCTGCACAACGGGGCCTAATCGCCAAAACACCATTACATTCATTTGTGTATCTCTGCAATAAATATGTATTCTTCTTACATCAAAACCGTCTCTCCTGATTGAAATAAAAGTACTGCATTTAAAATGTAAGTAGAAGTATTTAAGTATAATCAGGAATAATAAGAGAGAAGATGTCCCAGATGGTTTCTGTTGAACTATTATATAAGATATCAAGAGATTATTATGCAGGTCAGGTCAGGTTTACAAAGAGTCCAAAGAAACACTCAAAATATGTGTTGTTCCAAACCTCAACGCTACTAATACATAACAATAACTAAAAAGGGAAAAAAGCAAATCCTCACATTTTTGAGAAGCTGGATTAACTACAGGTTTTTTGCTGCTAATTATTTATTTTTGTAAAAAATGTATCAACTCATCGCTTCAAATGCCTTTTTTTGCGAACATTTGTGAAGTAATCTGTTACCTGAGCTTTTGGGTAAATTCTGAAGACAAAAGTATTTCCCTCAGATATTCGTGTAAAGGAGTAAAGGCATAAAGTGGCATAAGGTACAGGTACCTACATCTCGTACTAAAGGACAGAAGTGGGAGAAGTACTCAGATCTTGTTCTTAAGTAAAAGTATAAGTACCAGAGAGTAGGAATACTCTGTTACAAGTGAAAGTCCTGAGTTCAAAATGTTACTCAATTCAAAGTACAAGTGGCTCAGTCAGTAGGGGCTTGGACTGTGAGCCGTAAGGTCGCCGGTTCAAGTCCCAACCAGACCTAAATATGGAGAGTGGACTGCTACTTGGAGAGATCCCAGTTCACCTCCTTGGCGCTTGAGCAAGGCACCGGACACCCACCCCCCCACTCCCATTGCTCCCCAGGCGCTGTACAATAGCTGCCCACTGCTCCTAGTACTAGGATGGGTTAGATGCAGAGAACACATTTCACTGTGTGTGCTGTGTGCTGTGTGCTCTGCATGTGTGACCATTAAAGAGGGTTTCATCCCTCCGATTCTATTCTATTCTATCAAAATACACTTAAAGTACCAAAAGTAAAAGTATTTTTTATCATGCAAATTGTCCCATTTCAGAATCATATATATGATATATTGTGATTATTAATATTGATGCATTAAAGTCTTTCAAATCTGTAAAGTAACTAAAGGTATTAAGTTAATGTAGTGGAGTCAAAGTACGTGATTTACCTCTTAATTGCAGTGGACTAGAATTACAAAGTAACAGTAAATGGAAATACTCAAGTAAAGTACATGTACCTCAAAAATTAAGTTAAGTACAGTACTTGAGTAAATGTACTTAGTTACTTCCCATTTCTGCTAACTAAAGTATAGTATATATAAACTCAAGTATAGCGAATGCTTTTACACTGTAAAGCTGGGGTGTCCAAACTACGGCCCGGGGGCCAAATGCGGCCCGCGGACCATTTTGAATCGGCCCTCTGCAAATTCAAAAAGTATAATGGAATATGGCCCACAAATGACACTTGTGCTTGTATTATATTGTACTTCTTAAATATCAATGTACAAATATATTACACAGTAGTATTCATGTGTTAATAAGACCACTTTTCAAATACATTCAGTCAATTAAAGTTTGAAATATTTTCTAACATATCTTAGTTGATAAGAAAAAAAAACAATGACTTATTTACATAACACGCTTGAAATACACCCTTCCTATTTCTCCTTATTATAATCAATCTGAGGCTTCTGTTTAAAGGGATGAGCTGCCAACACTCACAAGCAGCATCATCTACCTACATTTGATTGATTTTGCTAACTTACAGTATAACTGAACTTATGAGGCAATATACCTCTAGTGGGTGGCCCAGCCCTTCGTATATGTTTCTGTATGTGGCCCACGGTGAAAAACGTTAGGACACCCCTGCTGTAAAGCATTCACTCAGGTACTACACACTGTAAAGTTCACAGCTCGTTAGTGTTTCTGCAGCTTCCTCCTGACCTGTGCTTCTTGTGGTCCCGGGATGAGCTCCGGCGGTCGCGGCTCTTTCTCTCTCGGCTGCGGCTCCTCTTCTCTCGGCTGCGGCTCCTCTTCTCTCGGCTGCGGCTCCTCTTCTCTCGGCTGCGGCTCCTCTTCTCTCGGCTGCGGCTCCCTCTGTCTTTGCTCCAGCTGCGGTGCTTGTCAGCTCGGCCGGTAGATTCACTGCGACTCCTCTTTTTGTGCCTTTCTCTTTCTCTCTCTGTGCAGCAGCACGAAATCATTATTATACATCTGGTAATATATACACTTGATAATACTGCATGTAGAAGAGCTGAGAAAATCAATTGATTCAACCACTGACAGAAAAATAATAGGCAAAAACTGTGATAATCCTTCTCTGGAGACGTATTAGAGCCACTGATGTTTAAACACATTATAATTACAGAGCCGGGGATGGAGGTACAATTCAGATAGATAATGGTTTTGTAACTTAATTATTTTGATTAAAGAGAGTTTTTTCACACAAATGTAAAACATAACAATCATTAAAAGGGAATATTCAAGATTTGTATGTTTTTTCCAATAATCTGTATTTCATTTGAACTTTTCTTTCCATTTTTTGCAAATGTACATATTTATAACCTCAGAGAATATCCAAGTTAATTTTCTTGTAAATGTACTGTTTGATTCTTGTTCATTTCAAGATTGTTTTTTTTCTTTTTTCGAACATTGTCCACCTCTAACAACTGTGATTATTATTTTTTTAACCTACAATATATGGTATGTTGTATGCTGTGTTATCATTTTGCTTCTCACTCGCAAAAAACGGTCAAATCTTGAAGTTAGCATGAGGTCAACAATAACAATAATTAAACTGTAATTTGGGAAAAGGAAGTCCCTTCATTTTTGTTATTATTTTACTTGTAGGACATTAAATCACATATTGTCATTGTGTGCACATGACATTTAATAATAATATTCCTTCACCGTTAAGTGTATTGAATACTTATTGAACACTCTACAGCAGGGGTCTCAAACTCAAGGCCCGGGGGTCAAATCCGGCCTGCGACTTGATTTAATGTGGCCCCGCAAGAGCTTGCAAAGAACATAATACGTTTATTATACGGTTACATGCCACTTTACAGAAGCAAGTTGTCCATAAACTACATGTCCCACAATGCATCTCGTTTTGTGACATGCGCACTGAAGAGACTTGCAATTATTTGCCCTGGACTTCTGCTTTCAGACGTAGTTAATTAATAGTTATAATAATAATAATAAAGTAATAATAAAGTTATTATCCTATCCGTAATATTCCAATTCAGAGGCAATAATGTAATATAATACATTATTTTATATATATATTATATATTTATATAGATAAAACCGGCCCTTTGAGTGCAACCTTTATGCGATTGTGGCCCGCAATTAAATGTAGTTTGACATGAGATCTATGATCTCAATAGGACCAATCTGGTTAAATAAAGGTTTGAAATGAAATGAAATGACACCCTGTTCTACATCGTGGTATTGCTACTAATATTAAAGGAAAACACATGCTTGTTTGTTTGTGATTGTGACCACGAATATTATTTTGGATAGGCTATATCAAAAATAATTCCTTTAGAGAATCGTAACAATTAATAATGGTTTCAGAATAGAAAAGTACAACAAAAATAGTTAAGAAAAAGTTAACGTACTTTAATTCTACAAGTGCCTTTCTTTACAGGAGGGGATAGTAATTTAAAAGTTGAAATAATGTGATGGAGTTACGCTTGTAGCTGTTTCGCAGACTATAAAAAACGTATAAATATGTCAGGTAAGTTCTCAGCGGAACCAGAATGCCTTCAGTGATGTAAGTCAATTTACCAAAGGCTCTATAGTGGCTTAAGGATGGGGATGAGATAACTGGCATCTTGAAGCTACATGTTAATTATGTTAACATAAACTAGCCGAGTCATGTTGTGGGGAAAGTACACTCTAAAGTTGCTGTCAGCTCGGGTCATTCATTCATTCATTCATTTACGGGGGCTAACGTTTTGCACGATGCTAGCTTGTGGACCAAATTAGGGCACAGTTAGTTCTTACCCTGTCGATTTTCGCTGAGCTGTTTCTCAAATTCTTCAAATCCGACATTTTACCGGTTGTCACGGTGTATACATATATATTGCAGGCCTGTCACTGGCTGCTTCTCAGGTCGATTAAATGAAATCCTTGCTTCCCTCACTTGCGTCGTTTCCCTGCGTTTAGTCCCTCCCACCAGGGAAGCATGGAGGGACGCAAGGAAACCACGAGAAGCAGGGAAATGAGTTTTAAGAGCAATGGGACGTCCTTTCCTCCGGAGCGTCACGTGAAGCGACGTCCGTTTGTGATGACGCTGCACAGCTGTTCTCTGGCAGCAGCCAGCTCTGTACCCGTTATTTCAACAAACACCCCCGCCTCTGTTAGTGCACATTTGCTGACATAAACATTAGTATCATCTGTTGTAGATCCAAATACATGAAATAAAATAAGAACTAATTCTCAAAAAAGATAAACGCCATTCTTAAAATGTAAACGAACAATAGTTTGATTAACATTGATTAGAGTGCACAATAATACAATAATTGAGAGAAGAAAAAGAGATATGTTATCTATCAAAACCCAGTTAGATTAACATTCATTGGATTGCACACTTTGTGTGTTTGTGTGGATATGTAGCACATTAACATTGTAATAGCACTTAATGACTGACTGAATGGAAATGACAATAAATGAAACTGTAAAACGAAAAAAGCGATCATGAAAATGTTTCCAATAATGATTTTTGACCACTTTTGTTCAGATCACATATTTGTAACTAAATGATACATTAATTGAAACAAAACACGTTATAAACTGAGGAGTGAGTCCCGTGAGGTTCATGTATTTTCTTCACTCCGCTGGGGTATTGCTCTCATGTCAAGAAGCATCAGATCAGTGCATGCACTGCCTCGTCCAATCAGTGAGCGATACACAGTAAGGGGGCGGGGTGAGTATCTGAGGATTTCATCGGAGGATGGTCTGGTGGTTCCCCGGTTATCGCTCCTCCATGATCGCTCCTCGCTCCTCGATCCTCGGTCCTCCGGCAGAAATAAGAGCCATGGGACGGTACTCAAGATGGCGCAGGCAAATCAACTTCCGGTGAGACCGAGGACCGAGGAGCGAGGAAATGAAAATAGTCGACCTGAGAAGCAGCCACTGTATGAGGGGGAAGATTAACCAACCAGCCCGCTGAGTGTCAGTGCAGCAAAACCACTCAAATATCCCAGGTGTCAAAATAGAGCTAGTGTATAAACTACATCCGGTTACAACCTTCAAAATAAAATGTATTCTTTGACTCATTTGATCCATACCTTGTTCATTGGTATACAACAATCCAATAGCATTTTACAATAAAAAAGCAGGTATTTAGCAAACAAAAATAATGAGAAATGAGAAAAAATACATACAAAAATACTATAAATAATATTAATATTAAGAGGAGATCATTCATCAAATTATTTGTATTATAAGCATACGATTTTTTTTTCTATATTGTTTTTTTCCTATCATATTTTTGAAATATTTAATACTGTCATATGTTATATGTTTTTGTCAAAAATAATCTTTGCCTCATTTTGCATTTTCTGTAGTGACACAAGTCAAAATATAAATAAAATTGACTTTATATACATAAATCCTTAGAATGCAAGAACAGTACACCTGAAAATGTTCCCAATGGAAACCCCTCTCTTACCCTGCAGAACCCCCCGCCACTCTCATGTCACTTTACACATACCATGTCGACAACACACGTGGAAAATAACTGACTCAGCTGTGCTGCTATTAAAAGAGCTCAAATCCCAAAGTATTGCTGTGGCAGCCTGCAGACTGTCATGTTGGAGGAGCTGTGTGAGTGAGCTGCAGAGGTATACAACCCAGAAGACCTACAGAAGCCTGAGAAGCAGTAAGTGTTGGCAGATAATTCATTTCTTCTTGAAGGATCCAGGTCAGCTACACGACCAGCTTACGTTTATCTATCTGAGCTAATTGCCAAAACACATTTTCTACTGGTTTGATCTTGGATTTGATTCTGCACAGCTGTTGCAACACAAAGTCTTCCATTTCCTTATTTTCTGGTTAGTTTGTAATTGTGTTAACGTATCTCTGTCGTGGAATAATGTGAATACAACTCTATGGCATTGCGCCTTTATGTGAGATACAGTATCTATTTCTAGCACAGTTTATATTTAGACCAGCAGCCGGTGCTTGGAAGGGTAAACCTAAACCAAAATTCCCTGTTGGACAAATCTGGAACGCGTGAGTGCCCGTCTTTATGATCTGATGACAATTAACTGGCCTCGTCAAGGAGTTTCTAACAGATTACACTTGATGTTAAAATATAAAGATTCACACTCTAAAATAATCTGTAATTTAAACAGAAGTCCCCAAAACCTTGTAGACACATATGGTTGTTTTGCGTCGCTTTGTGGTCATTTTGTTTTGCACATATGTGTATCTTTCCATTTTGGTCGTTGTGTCTCTCTTGTTTTTTCTGTCTCTTTATGGTTGTTTTTCGTATTTTTCTGGCCATTTTGTGTCTTTTTTTTGGCCATATTGTTTTTCTTTGTGGTTATTTTGTTGCTCTTTTTTGTTGTTTGGTTTGTCTTTCTGGCCAGTTTGTGTAATTTGTTGGCCTTGTAGTCATTTTGTGGTCATTTTGTTGTTGTTTTGATTGTTTTGTAGTAATTTCTATCTTTTGAAGTTAGTTTTTGTGGCCCTTTGAAGTCATCTTGTTTTTCATTTGTGTTGTTTTGTGTATCTTCATGTTTGGTTTATGTTTGTTTGTCTCAAATGTTGATAGACTTTAAAATGGCACATCAGACAGAGGCTTTGATCTTTGGAAAAAGTCAGTAAAAAGACTCAAAACAAATACTTGAATCCTGCTTTCTGCCCCCACACAAATTACATTTTCAGTTTTAACATTTGGAATTGTAATGTTACCTTATGAAGCACTTACTGCCTGTAGATTGCAAATGTTTAGAAATTAAATAGTTTGTGTTTGCAAATCCAGTAGGCTACTTTTTGTTTTCATGATTAATGTAAGATCATGGTTTAAAACTGTCTTCTCTGTTTTTATTTCAGAGTTGTAAGAGTAGTTAAATTTAAAAATGGTTGTAACAGGTGAGATGGAGTCCAATGTTACGGAGCTGGAGAGCTTTTGGGTAGGACTCGCTCCTTTTCATCATGTAAATCACGTTCATTAGATCCTTCACGGTCGTTGACGTTCCATCCCATCTCATCTGCATCATCAGAAAAGCCATTTCACATCTTAAAAGTATGACAAAAACCCAAAACATGCTTTAACAACAAAAGCTTATTCTAACTTTCCACCGGAAAGCAAATAAGCGGAATTCCCAGAGTGTCAAACTCATTCAATATTATGTGCTAGCAATGACAAAGATATATGCGTTCTTGTTTTATTGCAGTTCTGCATATTAAATATGAAATAAAACGTTTTCCAGCAATTCCTCCAGGAGATGGACCCGGTGTGGACCACCACTGTCCTGCTGGTGCCATGTGTGGTGGTGCTGACAGCTGGATTGTTCTACCTCTACAGCACGGTCGTGGGTCTATTGTCCAAAACATCTGTACGCAATAAAGTGGTGGTCATAACCGACGCCTTATCTGGGCTTGGAAAAGGTAACATGCGTTGTTTTTATTAAAGATGTGTTTGAATTCGTTTTTAATGTCTTTTTTTGCAAGACTCTAAAGTCTTGAAGTCTCATGTATTGGTAAAGAGAAGTTTGAGATTTGGAGATATTTTGTATCCATAACATATCTTCTTTCAGACTAGTTGAACAAAAAAAACATTTAGGAGATTATTTTTAATAACTTTTTTTGTGTCCTAAAATCACCAGAGGTCATTATTAGATAATGCCTCAGTGCATATTCACCTGTATTGTGTACACAATGTATGACTTTCACAATACAGTATCTTAAAGGCTGTTTTCTCAAAATGAGTTTTCTCCACTTCACTAGCATTTGAATAAACCAACCTTTCCAGTGATATTTGTATCCATATTATGAAGGTTTTTACCAAAGGCCTTGTTTATTAATCAGAGACCCTAATTGTCATAAGACTAAAAAGGGTCTGAAATGCATTTTTATGGTTTTCAGAATTGTTTTTGATATATCCAGGGATTATAAGACGTATCTAAAACCCCCTCTGTAAAAACCTTTGACTGTAATTTGTCAACAAAATGTTCAATGGTCAGATTACTTTTCTGAAAATGAATGGAAATGTAGCACATCTTTTAGAAGGTAATGCTTCATTTGCATACCTAAACTTGATATTTAATATACCCCTGTTATATTTTGGACCTACTCTTACAACACATGTTCTTAGATTGTTCATGTTTGCAAACGTACCTGGCAGTAAACTTGATTCTGATACCTCTAATGTAAGTCATCAACTTGTGAAATGTCATAGTGATATCTATATGTTAAATGTGTTCACCTGTAGTGTCTCTGCTCTATCAATGCAGAATGTGCAGATGTGTTTCACAAAGGCGGAGCGAGGCTCATCCTCTGTGGGAAGAGCTGGGAGAAACTGGAAGAGCTTGAAGATGATTTGGCAAATGCCTCAGACCCAACTTTGGTAAGTACTAAAACAGACACTTTTTATATGAAATAAGTCATACTATGCTCATTTTCAGGTTCATATGTGTATTGTATTCCTCTAGTGGGACCTGTCTACATGCTTTAATGTTCAAAAGGGTCTTTATTTTTCTCATACTGCCTGGTTTCACCCTCTGAAACCAGAGCCCAGTCTGGCTAGCTTGCCAGCTCGGTTGTGATTGGTCCACTGCTTAGAGAAGTCCCGCCCCTTATCCTATCATGTACAATGTGTTGGAGAGCTAGCTAATAGAAGCACAAGTGTTATGTACTGATGTCATTATGTTATGGAAGTAAACAAATAGGGCTCCTTTAACTGTTGTATTGATTGTTTTGTTTGTAACTGGAACTGCAGTTTGAAATGGCAAGAAATCTGGTATAAACCCCTTTCTTCTCTTTCTTGTAAGTTTATGAATGGTCTTTGTTTTAATGAATACATAAAGTAAGCATATACATTTAGTTGAGTAGAAGTGTAAAGTATCAGAAAAGGGATGAAGTAAAGTCCGTGTTCATCTCTGTTTCTCAGACGTTTCCCTCCAAACTGGTGCTGCTGGACTTTGGAGACATGGACAGCCTGCCGGACGTGATCTCAGAGATCCTGGAGTGTTACGGCTGCCTGGACATCGTCATCCTGAACAGCAGTTTGAAGGTGAAGGCGCCAGCACAGAGCGTGTCTTTGGAGATGGACAAGCTGCTGATGGACAACAACTACTTCGGACCGGCCACGCTCGCCAAAGGTAGAAGATGGAGACACAAGTAGTATGACACAGTGTTGTTGTAAAGGCTGGGCAGGACTTCATACAGCACTGGTCAAGTTTGGTGTAGTGTGTATTAGCAGAAAAAGTGTTCAGACCTTTTACATTAGTGAAAGTACCAATAGTGGAGAAGTACTCTGTCACCAGTTAAAGTAAAGCTTTTAAATCTAACTAAAGGTACAAATGTATAAACTACTAAAAAAAGCTCACGCCGAATGGGCAATTACAAAAATAATATTGTATATTTTGATATTATAATGTACAATATAATATTGATTCCTTAATGTGTTTTATTTGTATTCTTTATTTGCTGATAGCTTGTGAATTTGCACTTTTTTTGGATTTTATATTTTATTATCCTATATACTAAATGTTAACTTTATTTTAGTCAAGGGATGTAACAATATTATTGAATATTAACAGTTTCTTAGCTAAGCCCCCATTTTGACTGCACTTTTGCTTCTTATTGTTCAGTGTTGACATATTTGTGTTGCAGGTTTGCTGCCCTCCATGATCTGCAGGAGGACGGGTCACCTGCTGCTGGTCAACAGCATCCAGGGGAAGCTGGCCATGCCTTTCCGCACGGCATGTGAGTTCAGAGCGTGATGAAGGGAAATGCTTTTCTTCAATTATTATACTTGGTGCTACTGCACAGAAAGCACTGCTCACCATTAGTCTACCATTATATTATAACTCACTCAATCCGGTCAATAAACATGTACTGTTTTGCCACAGTAGCAGCATGAAATGTGTGGTCTTAATTTAGACCCAATTAAATGTAATAATACAAAAGTGAAATAAGGCATTAGTTATTTCACATATTCATAAAAACAAAAACAAACAATAGACCTGTTAGGGAAATAAATGAAACCCAGTCATTTTGACCCATTAGCAAATACAGAGTTTTCAGTAAATATGGTAGCAATTTCGACTTAATCTCATTATCAAAAGGCTTTTTCCATTTTCATTTTCAGTCTGTGAGAGAACTCCCATGCTAGGAGTGAAAATTGAATATTTGTATTTTATTTATTCCATTTATTCATGTAAAATGTATGCTTGTAAGTGGAAAATGAAAATGCTATTTTAACATTTTACATTTAATTAAGTCTGGCAAATGCTTTCAATATAATGTTCTCCTTGTTTTTGTTTGCATTATTGTATTAGCACTTAAAAATGAGTTCAAACTAAAAATGGCTGTGGGTTTGAAGATGTTTTCCTTTGTGATTTTGACCAGACTCAGCCTCTAAACATGCCGTCCAGGCCTTCTTTGACAGCCTGAGATCTGAGGTGGAGGAGTATGGCATCTCCGTCAGCACCATCAACCACACCTTCATCTCTGCATCGATCGAAGAGGCAGAGACACCCTCCAAGTCCATCTGCTCATGTGAGGAAAATCAGAGTGAAAAAGACATTATTTCTTTCAATGTGTAAAAAATTAGACAAATCTTGCATTTAAGTCAATGTTCTTTGCTTTTTGGGGGTTTCCCTTTCCTGTAGTGTTTTGTATAGGTTTTAGTGCATGTGCATGGTCTGCAAAGGCTACAATCCCAAAGTTTCCTCCAGAGGGAGCTTTTCCCCCCCTGCCTGAAACGCCTCCATTGGACTCCTTTGTTTACTTCTGTAACTATACGCAAAACTTGCGCTTCTATTAGCCAGTGCTCCAACACATTGTTCTTGATAGGCTAAGGGGCGTGACATCTCTAAGCGGTTGACCAATCACAACAAAGCCGGCCAACTAACCAATCAGAGCAGACTGGTTTCAGACAATCAGCCCAGACAATCAGCCCGGACAATCAGCCCGGACAATCAGCCCGGCCCAACTTGGTACCGCTAGTCTATTGTCAACGGAGGGGGGGGGGGGGGGGGGGGGGGGGGGGGGGGGGTGGGTGTGTGTATTCTCAATGGCCAGTCCGTCCCTGGTGTCAGACAGAGGGTGAAAAGAGGTGCTGCAGCACAGGCAGTATGAGAAAAATAAAGAGCTTTTTGAACATTAACGTATGGAGACATGTCCCAGTAGAGGCACCAAAAATAAATATGAACCTAAAAAAGAGCATAATATGGCCCCCTTAATTGAGTTCCACCACCTGTATACAACAAAAATGTACAAATAAATATTTGTAGTTAAATGTAAACTGTAGTTAAGTTACTTATGGTGAGACTATGTATTAAGTATGGGTGCTGCAATATACTGGTATTTTCAATAATGTATTATTTTATATTTTGCAGTGTTGTACAGTAAGAAGCCTCTGGGCATCACTCCAGAAGAGGCAGCGACTGAGATCGTGAAGACTCTGAGCAACAAGAAGAAAGAGGTCCTGATCGCTCCCTCGCTCCCAAAGATGGCTGTCTACGCCAGGTGCTTCTTCCCCAACGTGTTCTTCGCCGTGATGGCTGCAGGAGTGAAGCACGCCGAGGCCTCGGAGAACATGTAGAGCTGTAGCAGAGAAGAAAATATGACATGAGATTTACCGCTGAAGGTGTAACAAACCGGTGGAAATGGGAGTCATGTTTTAACAATGGCAGTCCCACATTTGACCATTTGTTCCCATAAATAAATATTTTCAGCTACAACTAAGATTTGGCTTCATTGACGATAGCATCTAAACCATGCTAGTGTGGTTCTTACATGTATTGACAGACATTTTATTTTTAAATTGTAAAATGAAAAAAGAACAGGCTGCAATCCAAAAGACACTGAATTTGATGTTGAATTACCAGTTTTTCCATGAAAAATAATTGTCGTCCAGTAAAACATACCACACTTAGTATGTTCTAACCACATTTAAATAATGTATCAATACTGTCAACCTAATTATTCAAATTACTGACATTTACAAATAAAGTTTTGCCTCATGTTATCTTTTTTTTCCTTCCTGGTTTTGTCCAATTATATTTATCTTTTTATGATGTCATATTGTCATCAGATGATGTACTCAATTTACATTATCATACATCATACAAAAATACAATATTATCGTATTAAAACCGTTCAGAATGTGAATTACGAGTTGCGGTTTTAACAAAGATAGATTGGTGCAGTCACTATGTGCTATGGTTTTGAGCTGGATAAAAAGGAGGTTCTGGCGATCCGGTTGATGCCGAAAATTACTTGTGAATTTGTTGGAAGCGAGAGTTGAATTTGTAATGGTTAGCTGGAGTTTTGATTGATTTTGGTGTGGGGTTTTATAGCAATGATAAGCATTTCAGATTGATCACAGTTGAGTTTGAGGAAGTTGGATTGCATCCAGGGATTAATTTATGTAAGGCAGTTGATGAGACGGGAGAGGGTTTCAGTGGTGATGGATTTTTTTTAAATCTAGAGCTGGACATCATTGGTGAAGAAGTTGAAGAGGCCATGATGGCATATGATATTGCCAAGGTCTGTCTAGGAGGTAGAGAATGAAGTGGAGACAGTGGCGGATTGGCCTCTGTTGACAATTTACTAGCGGTATTTACTTGCGGTACCGAGGTGGGCCGGTGTGGGGTCCCGGACTGATTTTTAGTCCCAGTCCGCCCCTGAGAGGAGATGATCAAGCACCTGGGGGACGCCTTGGGACAGGGGAGGGCAGGAGAGGTGATGTTGAGGGACGATTCAAGACCAGAGAGAAGAATGGTGTGGTTGAAAGCGGCAGTAAGGTTCTGCAGGATAAGGATGCTGTGGTGTCCAGAAAATTGGAGAGTAGCATGTTGTCGGTGACTCTGAGGAGGGCTGTTTCTGTGCTGTATTGTGAATGGAAACAAGATTGGAAAATGGTTCGGACAGGTCGTTGTAGTTGGTTGATAGTTTTGACAGAAAGGGGAGATGGGCCAGAAATGACCCATGATGTCAGGGTTAAGTCATGAGTTTGCTATGTGTATTATTTCACTGTAAAAAAAAAAAAAATCACTATAATTTACATTTTAATATGAGTAGTATTGTCATGGTGGAACATTTAAATCAAAAAGTAAATCATAAGAAATGTATCTGTACTTGTCTTTGTGGATTTAAAATACAAATTAAAGTATGTTTGTGTAAACCCTTGTCATGTTAATGTTGTTCTCTAATTGTATTATTTCATTTTTAATTGGAAATTATTTGAAATGTATTTTTCAGTTTATTGCGAAGTGAAGGAAAGTGTTTCCCTGACAAACCTTAATAAACTTTAGAAATCAGAGAATATATATATTTTTTAAATAATTCTACCAAATGTAGGGTTTTGCTTGTGACATTATTTCTAAAAGATTATAATTTTTAATCTTAGAGAATATCCAAGTTTTTTTGTCCACAAATGTAGGACTTTAATATTGAAAGTTTACAATTGTGTTTTACTGTCATCCATCCTTGTATTAATAGTATTACTAGTATTACTGTTATATATTGTTGTATAGATTATGTAAATAAATAAAACAATTAAACACATTAACGTTAACAAAACAACATATATGTAATTGCATTTTAATAACCTCTGTTTGTATAAAGTGGAGATCAAAGAAAGGTTATGGATAAGTTAATCATTATCTTTTTCTAGCATGTGGTGCCCCCTTGTGGTCCGTCTTTACAACAACCACTATTACATGCTGCTTAGTTATTATACGTGTCTTTTTAATGTAGGCTATACATGGCATTTAAAATCTTCTCCAGACTCACCTCGTTAAACCTCCAAATTAAGGGTCCACAGACTGCCTTCAGGGCGTTATGCTCCGGCTGCAGTTTATCGGTGGAACACGACCGACAGAACCGGCGTTTCACCGTCACTCCGGGCAGCGGGGCAGGTAAGCAGATATAGCCGAGCATGACGCTCCTCAGCCCGGGGAAGTCCTGTAAGAGAGCCCGGCGTCTACTCGCGGCCTACTAGAACACATACATCTATGCGATTAGTTCACCGTTAGATTAAACATGTATTTCTTTAAAGATAATGAGTTAAATTTTCCATTTATATTGGCAGTTTCGTTTTTGTGAGACAATAACACCAAGCGAAACATCATCTAAAAATAAGGGAATTTACTGTAACGTTGTCAATGGTACACGTTTCGCAGCCGATATGTACGATTTGTAATTGTTATGATGTGTTTATATCCACCTCACAGTTCGGCATATATATCATTAGCAAAGGTGACACATTTCAGCATATTGTTGGCTAGTAAGTAACAGTAGAACCGCTGAAGCCGTCTAGAAGGGCACACTTAAAAGTAGCTATTTGCGGAGGGAGTTTTATGGAAGACAATTTACGCCAATGTGATTAAAAGACAAGCCTGTATATCTTTATAATGACACTGAGACTAGTTTCCCCACAATAATAAAAACTGTGTTTTTAAATTATGACACATTTCTTCCCTAAATAATTACTTCACTATCTCAAAATAAAAATAAACTTCTCAAAAATGATCGCATAGTGTCTCAAGAAAATGAATTAGTTGTTCGAAAATAATGAGACCAAATATTCATGGTAAGTCATTATTTTTGACCAAATGTTTTCTTATTATGGCTTACATCATTTTTTTCATTCAAGTTTTCATACTATTTTTTTTTCTGGCAAAATTGGTTATGGACGTCTATCAAATGGGTAAGCAAAAGGCTTGTTTTGGTCTCATAGAATTTCATTTTCACCTCATGTCCCTCACCCAATTAGAATTCAAGAAAATATGAGCTAAATCAATAAATACTTAAGTACTTAAAAGTAAACAGTTGGATTCACATGTTTAATTCTCTTTTTAAGGGTCCTTTTTCTGATCCGAGTCATTTTAATTAAACACTGAGTCTTTCTCCTCCTGTTTCCCCAGGCGGCCATGCAGAGTGTGCAGTGCTACACTACACATTCATCGGAGAGAAGGAAGTGGACTTAGTGTCAACGTATGTTCCAGAGACATTTAGGGGCCAAGGTGTTGCTGCATTGCTGTCACAGGTAACTTAAACTTCATGCAGGCATGTGCAGGGTCTAAAAAGCTGTATTTACTGTATACTTATTTTACAGGCTGCCATGGACTTCCTGGTTGAAGAACACCTCAAGGCTCACATCTCCTGCTGGTATATAAAGAAATACATCGAGGATCACCCAATGAAAACTTATAAAGAACTTTTGATCCCTTGACTGCAGCCAGATTGTGAAGAACAGCCAGTGATGCTACCTCAAATTATCTTTAACCAAAATCAGTCAAAAATAATCTGAATAGATATTTCAAGTTGTAAATTGTTGTTCGACAACCTGAATTATGTAAATTGTTGTTCGACAACCTGAATTATGTAAATTGTTGTTCGACAACCTGAATTATGTAAATTGTTGTTCGACAACCTGAATTATGTAAATTGATTTTTCATACCAGAAAGCACTTTTTAAAATGTTGTCATCTTTAATTAATTAATTCATAGTTTCTCAGTAAGTATTAATATGTATTAATTATTTAATATTTGGAAAAAATAAACGCAAATGTTAGCCAGGCATAATGTTTGATTTTTTTTAATCATTTCTGCAAAAATAATGAACACTTTGTGTCTCTGATGCAGAATAATGGGTGCTGAATATCATTTAAAAAATGCTTGTAATGTAGTTGTCACTCTTCAGTAAAATTCTGCTAACATTTAGCAACAACTCTTAAAGAATATGCATTTGTTGATGATTAAACATGATTTTCTGAGTATTATGGTATCTGGTGGATTAATTGCTGGATAGGTTACTTTGACAGTATTGATAGAGCCAATCAAAACAAGTATAGATATAAATAAATATCTATATATAGTTGTTATTAAGTACTCTGTATCACAAGATAATATAATACCTGAGGGCAAAAAACTAAACCAATGGAGAAATGTAAATAAGTACAGTTAATAATGTACTGTATTTGAGTTTATACATTTAGATAGTCTAAGTCTTTACCTTTTTCATCTTCAATAATACCTATACTTTATAATCAAATTATACATAAATGCATTTCTGTAAAATACAAACAAATCTTGCATATTTCAAGTACGCTCAAAAGACAATATACTTTTATTCCAATAGATGTCAGTCTTACTCCTTTATACTCTTATTTAACTGTCAATGTTAGATTTATATCTGAAATAAAAAAATCTGCATTACATTGATATGAAATGTGTAAAAGCAACAGATTTTTGTTGGAGACAAAGTACGTTTTTTTTTTAACAATAACAACTAAAGCATGGAATTTTATTTTAGAAAAAATAGTGGCTCCAGAGGAGAGATCATTAATACATGAATGAGCGATCCTCGTCTGATCCTCTGCGCTCCATATGAGCCGCATGATGAGTAACAGTCAGGCTTACAACACTCGCAGGCTGCAGACAGAAGGGTTCATTTCTGTTGACATAAAAACCCTCTGCTCAGATGTGTTATAAGGATTTGATGGATTATTAGACAATGATAAAAGGCCTGCTTGTGCAAAACAGCTGCTGCTGCGTCCTCTGTAGTTGTTGTGTCTTTTTGGGACTTCGTAATATGTGTGTCTTGGTAGTCGTTTTGCGTCTTGACGTGTGTAGTCTTTGTGGTCATTATTTGTTAAGTGGTTATTTTGCATGTTGTTGGGTGCCTTGATTTTTGTTTGTGTCTTTTGTTTTCATCTTGTTGTCATTTTGTGTCTGATAGTGGTTGTTTTGCTTGGCTTTATGGTGGTCATGTAGTAATTTCTTTGTCTTTGTGGTTTTATGTCGTGTTATTGATTTTTGTGTCTCTGTGGTTGTTTTTTGTGTATTATTTGGTTGTTTTGCATGTTTTTGTGGCTTTATTTGTGCATGTCTGTATGGTTTTCTGTGTGTGTTTGTGGTTGTTTTGTCTTTTTTGCTTGGCTTTATGGTGGTATTTTTTTGGGTCTTGTAATAATGTTCTCTCTTCATTGGTGTTTTGTGTCTTTTTGGTTATATTTAGTCTTATTTGGTTGTTTTGCATGTTTTGATTGACCAACAAGAAATGGTAACCATCCAGTAATCCATCAATGATGTATAGTGCAATATGTTCTCACTCAGAACCACTGTCCAGCCTTTTGAGCAAGTGACTAAGTCTTGTCCCAGAGGACAACACATGACCAACATTTCCATGCATCTTGACTTAAAAAAAGGCCAAAAGCAGAATATCTTTGAAGTTAAAACATAAATAATCCATGCCGCCGCAGCAGCTTGTTACAGATTAGTGTGAAGGCTATGAAATTGCAGCGCTCTTCACTTCCTCCCACAAATAGAATCACATGGAAAGATTTGATGAAATGCATGTTGCATCAAAGCCGACCATGTAACATTATTCACAGAAAAAAAAGAATCTGGGCTGTGGGCTCACAAGACACACATTTGATGTGTGGCAACAAAACAAAAAACACTCCTGTATTAGAAATGTTAATCCAGGAAACAAGAGTCAATCTGGAACATCAGCGCTGAAAAGTGTTCCAGTGGGACACGGGGAAAGGGACGCTTTAACAGTGCACCTCTCCTTGGTGTTCTGTTCCATTGTCCATCTGCACCATGTACGTAGTTCCTGTGGAGGGTTTGTGGCCGTTGACCGGCAGTTCCAGCTTTGCCTCGGCTTCAGCGGGTACGGCCGTCAGGTACATGTCCCACATCTGCTCTGGGAGCTGCTGCTCCAGCATCTTCTGCTTGATCAGCAGGCTCTTCTCGATGTTCCGCCGCTTGTATTTGAACTCTACGATGGTCTTTGTGTATCTATTGAGGGCCGTCACTGCAGAGCCCATGCAAGTGCCGAAGGAGCCCCACGCTAAACTGCAGAGAGGTTTGGAAACAGACAGGGTACATTTACAGGGAGGTGTTTTTACTGTGCATTTTTATCAAGAAAAGTGACAGAGAACTTGGATTTCTTCTTTTTGTTGAAAAGGATTTTAAAGAATGAACTGTATATATATATACAGTATATATATTTATGCTGATTTCTTAAGGAAAATATTTTTCGTTTCAGTTTTCAGTAAAAATGAGGAACGTTCTTACACATAAGACCAGCTGTAGTCCCAGGTCTTTGGCCTCCAGTCTTCTGGCCCCATCGCCACAGCCAGCTGGAAAATGGTGGTAAACATCATGTGGGCCACCATCCCACAAAGGCCTGAGAACATGTGGAAACCAGAGATAGTAATATTAAAATATATTAATAAAAAGTCATTTGTGCATTAACAAGGATTCTCATTTTAAAAAGCACAAAGTGACACATACTGCTCGAATCTACTGCTGCCAAGTAAACGAGACACCAGCAGTGTAATAAACAATTAGTTCAATTGTATTACAGCATCTCCAAAGGTTGTGGAAGACGTATTGATTATCTTTACTTTGGTAAAAGAGAGAACAAGGTGATAGAAAGTCAGAGACAACGTTGACTAAGATTGTTTTGACTAAGATTGATGAGTCATCAAAATGACTGATCTGTAGATAAAGAGGCTTACTGCAGGCCCTGTGCAGGATCAATGTGGGAAGAGAATGATGGCTGCAATGTGGACACTTTCACTGTGTCCTGCTGGTATCAATATTATCTGTTACTCTTGGACCAGGCAGGACATCAGATTGGTCTCCAGCTTCCTTGCTCTCCAGTATCAGCTTATTGAATTTCCATCCATTTCCAAGTTCATATTAGTATTTAGTGCCTCTACTGTTCTCATACCCTCTGTCTGAAACCAGAGCTCAGTCTGCTCTGATTGGTTATTGGATTTTAGCCTTTGCAGACCATTTACATGCACAACCTATATAACACACTACAGGAAAGTGGAATGCCAAAAGCATAACAGGGCCCCTTTGAAATAATAACTTTTAAAGTAACTAAGTCATTAAAGGAGTAGAAGTCAAATGTTTCTTAAAGTTAAAACACTGAAGTAATTCACAAGTACCTAAAATGGACCTTTGATGATAATGATTCTGGGGATTTAATTTGACATTTTATTATTTTCTGTATTTTTTTATTACAACATTATGTTTAAACTAGTTTAGAGATACTGCATATTGCATTGTCAGAGGATCCTGGGATTTAAGATTTTCTAGGCCAACAACCACGCTGTAGCTGCCTTTGAAGACAAATGCTCTGAATCCTGAACTTTGAACCTTAAGAAACAAATATTTACAGAGAGTATAACTACACTGGGGTGTGATGTATACTTAAAATGTGGTGGAGGTGGCACTCTCTCATGCAGCAGCCTGCTTCTCTACAGCTGCTTTTCTTGGGATTAACTGGTAACAGCAGGGGGGGGGGGATGGGTGTCCGGGGAGGGGGGGTGGAGGGAGCTCCTCTGGGCAGGTCTTGGCCCCAAAACCGCAGATCCAATCCGATTAGTCCACAAACCAGCAAATCCTCCGAGGTAGAGAGTGCACGCGCTGCAGTGAGCCGCTGCACACTGCCCTGCTCCTTTTTCCTTTTACAATACATGTATCTGCTGCTAAACTACTCTCAACACCCACTACTACGTGTGTGCGCGTGTGTGTGTTTGTGTGTGTGTTTGATGCCGCTTAAACTTCAATTGTTGTTTTTTTTTAAAAACCTATTGTTTGTTCATTTTTGTACAACTTTTGTGTAAATAAACATAAATATGATTTCAAGAAACTAAATATATGCAGGATTTTCCTCATTTATTACAAACTGCGCTTTTCCTGTCAAAACATAATGTGCAAAGATTTAATTTACCTCAGTTTAAGATCAGCCGATTCCTGTAGCCTCCTGAACGGAGTTATTAGATACATGAAAAATAATTGAGGACAAATGCCCCCTTTACACATCCCCCCAAAAACCACAAATTTACCAAACAAACAGAAACAGAAGGCACTTTAATCTACTGTTCTTAAACTCAATTTAGTATCACCAAACCCAAGGGTCACAAAAGAGATTGGTCAATATATCATCTTTTTTTCTTCTAACATATTGACTATTTTCTTGCAATATTAGGACTGTTTCTAGAAATGTTACAACTTTTTTTGGAAACATAATTCTAGAAATATAATTTTCACTGGAAATGGGAAACTTTTTATGGGAAACTTTTTTTCTGAAAATAATACAATTGTGTATGTATTTTCTGTATGTAGTTTAGCAAACATTAACCTTTTCTGTCAAAATAATTTGGCTTGTGAAACCTTTAAAAAAAAATATATTATTACACTTTATCCTGTAAATTAATAAATATATATCACTGGAAATCTCAGCTTTTGCACTTCCTAAACCTGCTTTCTACGGGAAAATTATTATGTATTATTTATATTATTAAATCAATCAGAAACCAGAAACCAGATGGTCAAAAAACTAAATGATCTTAGATTTGCAATTGTTGGACTCTATATTTTTGGATATTGCACTAGCAGTTACATCCTAAAGACCGATTTGTTTTTTTATAATAAAAAAATTCCTGACACATTGGATTTGTATTTGTTTTTTTAATACTGCTTTACTGTATGTCCAAATACTTTAAAAAACATTCCTATCAGCCTCAGCAGTACTGTGTTTAATGGTAATTAGCTAATTGGTGAACATGCTGAACATCATGTTAGGGACTCTTGTTGGTTTTTGTTGTTGTTTTGTGTAAGTCTTTAAAAATATAAAAAAATGGAAGGGTCAGTGTTACCTGACAGGGCGGTGCACAGGGCTGCGAAGGCACTGAGCTTCAGCTTGTTCATGATGCTGAAGCAGGGGCACTGCTCCAGGGTCATCAGAGCCC